TGTTAATTTTTTGTATTGTGTAAGGCTGTTTAACACCCTAGAATCTAAGGTGTACTCATCCTATTCCACAGCCAAGCTCAACCACTTACCAGGCCCACAAACAAACCTCTTCCGTCATTGTGGCACAGGTTGAAATCAGAAAATTGTCAGTCGGAAGATCCGAGACTTCTCAAAATGAAAAATGTTTATTTTTTTCCACCTCTTGGAGGCGCACTATTGTGAAACACCTGTACTGCATCGGTATGTGATATGTTTTTTTTTTAATTCCAGAAGAATCTGAATATTACTGTTTCCATTACGGAGACTTCTGCTGGTCATTTGAGCCCACCCTGCACCTGCGCTACCCATTTAAACTTAGCCCTGCAGGTGCCTCATTCACCAATGACCGTTATGACCAGGCCATGGCCGTCTGCACCGACGGTCGCAGTGGTTGGATATCCTTGAGGGATTTCACCAACCAGTGCCCGGCTGACCCCTCAACATGTGAGCATGGGTTCATTATCGCGATGTGGGTCCGATTGCAGGAAATTACCTCCCACAGACGGAGTAGCTACCTGCTCAGTGTTGGAGCTGAGGAACATGGTAATAAAAGCTGTCTAAAAGCACTCGCTAGCAATAAAACCATGTACAAATGAAAGTGACTTGCTAGTGGCTTTGGCCTCTTCTGTAGACAGTTCCAATAACCATGGTAGCGCGCCATCACTGACTATTTGCAGCGGCCCCCTTTAATGGTAGTAAGCATTGTGACAGCCATTGTACATATCCACTGTCCCATGATTGGCACTCCTTACAAAACCCAACTCAGTGCATGCCGCCATTCAAAGGGGATATCAGGAGTGTACAGTGAAACATTAGTGGATTCGTCTATAGGCACTTCACTGCAGAAATATGGCCAAGACTTTTTGATCGAAGCTCATTATTCCAGTTTGGTATTCAGTTGAGCCAGTGTACCTTGAAATTTATTCTGTAAGAATGAACTTTTGACTTTATATCAAACAGTCCACCTTGGTCTTGCAAAAATCATTGTTACAAAATTGCTGAAAAATTATTGTGCTAGATTAGATGAGTCATTACTTTGACTGCAGTTTACAAATAATTCCAACTTCTTTTGAGAAAAATTGCAGCATGCCAATCATGCATAAGCATAGTTCCATAGACTTGCGTAGGCTACATTTGTCTTCTGAGATGTTAATCCCAAAATGGCGTTTTCATATTCCGGCTTAATACATCACATTTCAACTGAATAAAATGCTCAGGTCACCCTCCACTCCTCCAAAAAACAAAGTCTGATCCTGATGGAATGAGTTCCTCTCTCCTCCAGTTCACAACAAATTTTAAACTGTTACTACCGGTAATACATTTGGCAATTTGTAATCTCTTCCCAAAACAAATCTGCATATTCTGTGACTGGCACTTACGGTAAACATTTGCAACCTGAATCAAGGCCTGTGTTAAATATCTCTTTTGACGGAAGTTTTCTTCTTTCAATCTCAGGGGAGAATGGAGTTTCTCTTTTCCAATCTGTCACTGGTATCCGTGTGAAGGTGGTTGACAATCACCTTTCGTGGGAGACAAATATTGAGTCTTCTTGGTTGAGCTTTGGCCAGTGGATTTATCTTAGTATCAGCTGGGCGGGCCAGTATCTTAAAGTGAATGTGGGAGGGAAGGAACTGCCCATTATCGTAAGTCTACATTTCATTTTTTTTTTTTGGATTGACTTTATGAGTAGTCTTTTAACTGTGACAAGAGTCAGTCTTTAAAAAGGTGGTTCTGATGTCAATTAATAACTAGCGATTCACAATACCGTGTGCCATCAAGAGCACTGACGGTGGAACGATTTTCAAAGTGGGGGGGGCAGTTGAGAGACCATCAGACATCAGCCATTCATAGGCCAGTCCATTAAGCTCCACCCCATTATAGGACCTGTAAAAAGTGGGGGGCAGGGCACTACGTAATGGTGCCAAGGCAGCCATGCTTTTGTCGATCGTAAACTTGAAAGATAGCCTGTCCGTGGCAACCTCTTAGGAGCACTGTATGCGAGTCGCCCCTATTGTTTACAGTCTTTGCAGTCAGTCTGTTGAGTTGATCCCTGCAAGTGTCCCATGCATGTCACCTTTTTTGCCCTTTCCAACCCGAAGATTAAATTGTAACAATGCACCTGTATTGTCTCATGCAGTAAGGCATGTGACAAACAGGTGATTTGGGATGATAACTATTTGGTACGATAATATTTTATATGAAACTGCGATTTGAAGCATGCATCGCCAACTTTTAGCCAGTCTGATTGTAACAGTTGATATCAGATCTGAAAGTACACTTGCAAAAAGAAAGACTCCCAATCGGTTGTTCACAGACCATTGTGAGGTGACCTATTGAGGTTTCTATTTTACCATGTCAACTTTGCCTCAAATCACTGAAAGAGTATGTTCTGGTTTTGCAAAGATCAATTTCTGTTGTCTCAATTGGTAGCAACTCAGGCAATCAGCTGAGATGTTCAGGGAACTAACAGTAAATTAGAAGACATCTTAACGTATTGCTCTCACAGACATTTGCAAATAGATGTATTTGTAATGCCAAGTATAAGTTGTAACTACTGATGAGGAAATTGAAGAAACACTTCTAATTAGACTGGTTCCCTCGTTTGTATTATGGGTCTTCTGTATTTTGTAACCTACCAGATTTTTTAACTATTCAAACATCTGGCTCAGATGTACATCACATGTGTATTGACTTCAGACTTTGTTCATCAAGAAAAGAAATTCAAAACATTTCAATTGACAGACACACATACACAGATCTAGCCTGCCTGATGCTGGTACCCGCTATGTGAATGACAGGCTAGTCATGACCCTCGGCAAGTCCATTCATGGCAGCAGGGGTTTTGTGTCTGCATGTTACGATGATGTTCTCCTCAGAGTACCCGAGGCTGACCAGGAATTGCCCTCTCCAAAGAACCTAAATGGCTCAGTCTGTGAGTAACTTTCAACATTTACAAAACCCTATCAATTACACGTATGTTAGAAATACTTCTAAGTTGAATGGAAACATTTATTTTACCATTGATGATGTTGAGGATGTTGCACATTAGTTTGTCAACCTAAAGAACACATGGAACCTATGGTAATGCTGAGCGTGTCATGCATCTTCAAAGCAGTCAACATTTATTATAGCTGAGGGAAATGATAAACCTGGCAATTATGCTCAAGTTTTCTGTGCTTTTCACTAAGGCGTTTGATCGGGTAAATCACACAATTGTTATTTACAAGCTTTATCTTGGAGTTAGACTGTCAGTTGTTCCCATTATCTGCAGCTTTCTGATAAAACGCAATCAAAATATTAAACTAACTGGCAGTTTGTTTTCTCTTTGTGAAGTGACATGTAAGGTGCTACAGGGAACAAAATGAAGTCCGATTTTATTTCTGAGTCTTGTCAGTGATATTAGGGTTGGTGGCTGCAGGACATGGAAATACCGAGATAGACTTTTTATGTTGTGCATCTTTGAAATGGGCAAAGATTCCTCAATAGTTGCAAGTTACAGTTCTTATATCAGACCCATTTTAGAACATGCCTGTCCAGTGTGGCAGTCTTCAGTTACAAAAGGATCAAATTGGGTTAATTAAATGCATTCAAAAACGTGCTTGTAGAATAATTCTTGGCAGTGATTATGATACTTACCTTCATGCCGTCAATAGATTGAACCTCCAACCTCCAAACTTTGGAGCAGAGATGTTTAGATTTATTCTTGAAGTTTGGAAAAAAGTTGCTTACCTCTTGTAGGTTTCGTTATCTACTTCCACCTGATAGAAAAGATGTTAGTGGAAGATAGTTAAGGAACAGCACTTAGTCTGGTCCTCATATAGGCCTATCAAGGTGCAATACTGAGTGGTACAGACGACACAAAATCCCTTCTTTGTCCAGAATTTTAACATAAAATCTTTGGTGTTTTTTTTTTAATTTACTTTTATTGTATCTATGTATAAATATTTTTAGTTTATTTTTTTATATTTTTAAATATTTTTAGTCTTAGGACCATTTTATTCAATGTTTGTGCAAACAAATAAACCAATAATACAAGTAGGGCTTGGCTCGTAGCAGCCAAAACTCAATATAAAGGTTTGACTTAATACTGTAGATGACTCATGACATTGTAATCTTGAATCATTTTGGCTTTATCAAGGGGATGTACCATTGAGAGGTTACAGTGCCCCACTGCAGAGCAAGTAACTCAGCGCACCACACACGGCACGTGTTCGATTTATTTTTGTCTGTTTTGTCAGCTGAAGATGAGAACCAGTCATTAGGGCTGGATGAGCCCGGTCCTGAGACAGCCAAGAAGGAGTGCGCCATCATCCATGAGGCAGATTGTGCACTCACCATTGAGGAGTTGTTCTATACAGTAAGTTGTCTGATAATGAAGTTTGTTCGTTTGTTGGGGATTTTTTTTTCATTGTCATATTTACAGTTTGCACAGCTGCTGTGTTGATCAGCTGTGTGATCTACCTGTTTGCAAGATCCAACGCAGTCAAAAATGAATCCAGACCATTTTGGACCAAAAAAGTCAAGCCCTTTCTGCAAACTGCAGAGCTGCATGATTTGTCATTGTTTGCACTGTGAGGCTTTCAGAGCCAACATTGACAGGAATCCAATACCTATTGCAAAGTTTTCAGCCCTCCGCTAAATTGATACACAAAGTAGAATCCTTATAAGCACTTTTTGATCCATGAATTTTCAGATCAAAGAGGAAACAGTTTTGTCCGATGATGCAGTGTATAGTTCCGTGATCAAATTGAATCACCTGACAGAGAACAGAGAAAAATTATCAAGCTCTGAGCTAGATGCAGCCAGCAAGGTGATCAGCCGGCTTGCCAGCAGGGAGCTACCACTGTCCATAAATATCACAGAGGCTGAGATCTACCTGGAGGTTGGTGTCTTGTTGCACTGTTTGAAAGTCTGTGAGTCTACAGTCTATGTAAATCAACAGTGGGCACTCTTGTTATGTTAGTGCCAAGCGTCCTCTCTCACTCACGCTCAGCTGAGTTGTATGATGTAGCATTTTGTCTCATGCATTGGGACCAGTTGTTTCAGTGCATTGATCTCAACATAATGCATATTTGAGTCTGCTCTGTGTAGAAGTGCCCCCTCAGTGGCAAAGAAGAGAGAGGCTGCCAGGGACTGTTTCAGTTGGGATGCTTGTATATGCTGCGCATGCAAAGACCACACATCCAATAGAAATTGGTTATGCAAACTCAGCACTGCCTGTGTCAAGTGCATCGCGCACGTCCCCATCAGCACAGCGCCATTGTTGCTATGTACAAAAACTGCAATCTTGTGTTCACACAAGGAGTGGATAGTCACTTCAAGTCTGCCATGTTTGCGGTCAGTGTGTCCCTGGGCAACAATTCTGTCACAAACTCTCTCTCTCTATCAGTTTGCCTCCAAAATGGCAGATTCAAACTGTAGGCCTATGAAGCCCTCAAGGGGCTATGATGCATGTTTTAAGAAACCCATTCCCCACTGAATCTTGACAAGAAACTGACACCGCCTCTAAGGACCATAGGGGTTAGTGAAGTTAAGTAGTTCATAATTGTGTGACTGTATCCCACAAAATTAGGCACAAGGCAAGTTTTCAGCAAGTTTGTTTTCACTTGCACTAGAAAGATTAAAATGAGCTCTTTGTTTGGATGTGTCATTAAATTTGCCATCCTTATAAAAATGGACATTGCATAGGTAAAAATTTGGGATGGTTATTAATTGACGTTGTCCAAGATTCTTGTCATCAACTCAAATGGCTTGTTTGACTTACTGATTTTGTAAGGTTGGTTCACGTATGTAAATATACATTAATCTGCCCATACCTGTTTCCCCCAAATATTTTCTAGTTATGTGTGTTTGAAACTTTACAATGTTTGTATCTTTTCCCTGGCAGGACTTTCTTACCATTGTGAATAATCTTCTTCATCCAGTGCATGCCCAGGAGTGGATCTCCTTACAGAGGGTAATAGTTTTCAGTTGTCAGTGTTACTGTTGGATGAGCATATGTCGATGATTCCATTCAAACATAGTGTAATAGAGTCATGTAACAATAGGTACTCTACCTTAGGAAAAAAATGCAAAAAAAATAAATCCCTCAGAGAAAAGGAAAAGGAAGAAAGAAAAAGCAAGGAAATGGGCTTGAAAATCAACAATTTGCTAAATATTCCTTGGACTCGATGCCTGCCATTATTGATGGTGTATCCGCTCTGAGGGGAACGAAAGAGGGCGTGTTTTTTAAGTACTCACCACATAGGCGCGCATTTATAATGGATCAGTGGCGCATTCGATGCTTAGCACGCTGAGTACGCGTAACAAATTTAGTCCTTAATAGATGTTCTTTGTGTACATGCAGAACCCATACAAAAACTCGCCTGGAAAACTTACTGCCATCTGTCTTTCTTTTGGCGCTTGGGGGTGCACTTCAACTCGGGGTGGATTGATTTGCTGCTGATGATAGTGCTTGCCTGTGTTTTATTTAATCAAAAATGTTTTTCCCTAAAAGGCATATCGAGCTGGTGTCACTTTCACCCCGTTTGCATTGACTTTGTGTCAAATCTAAAAATAAAAGTTAAGCATTTCTAAAAACTATCCATGCAGTCCCATGCAGGAATCACATCACTAATGGACAGTGTGGAGACCTTCACTGGTAAAATTGCTTGGCACTGGAACACCACCATTGGTAATTCTGTCACAGATGTATTGGTCAACAAGGGGAACATTCGTGAGTAATAGAATTTGCTTGAATATTTGTGCAGAGAAAAGTGTTTAAAAGTATTTAGGGGGCTCTAAAAGTCTTCATAAGCAAGTCAAGGATAATTGGAACTACTTTAGAGTGAAGCAAGAATGTAATAAGTTAGTTTTTCAAGATAGTAGCCGACAGATTACTCCGTAAATGTTTACACATTTTACGTTTTTGATTGTTACATAAAACTAGCTACTCAAGTTATTGGTTTCTTTTAAATTGTGAGTAACGCAGGGATCTATAGCATTTGTAACTCTATCTGTGCGATAAACTTTAAAGTCTTGCAAAATACTTCTGATCAAACTGTAGCCCAGTAAACAAGGTGGCAGTTTATATATTATTTCATGTAGAAAACAACCCAATTCTTTTTCATTGCAAAGTACCTGACCATTTCTGAAATAAGTGCAAATGCTTTTAATAAGTATTCTGGGTGTGCATAACTTCTTTCTTTGAGTGTAAAGTTTAGAAAATAGCAAAAACTACCCACTTATCTTTGCATATAACAAGGATTATGGATAAATTTCTGGCCTCTGTAAAAGTTTAATAATGAAGTTTGTTGGTACATTGACTCATTGTAGCTGCAACCATCCACCAATAACAGATTTCTGTCGTTACTTTCCAACATACATTGTTGCAGTTACAACGATGGAAATCATTCCAGAGGATGATTTAAAGAGCAAGAAAGAACTTGTAATTCCAAGACGAAGTAGATTGGAGCAGCTAGCTAAAGACTGGCAAAATGTGGATGAAACCATCTCTATTCCTGGAGATATCTTCGTAAATACACGTAAGGATTGAAAACTCTTACTCGTACTCATCAAGCCTAATGTGGTCAAATTGTCTAGATAGAATGGGGATTCAAATCTGCAACCTTAAGTGCTGCACCAGTATTCTGCCATCTTGACTTTCAATCCCTGTGATGGGAAGTGTCCAATGCGTGTATATTGTACATGACGAGACTTAATAGGAACACTGAAAATAAATTTCTTTCCAAATTGAAAACCACCAACACAATGCAAGATCCCTTATTTATCAAGGCACTGGTATAGGAAACAGGTTCAAATTTTGCAATTTTGAAAGTTAGTTTTCTTAAAACATGTTAGAAATAAGTTTACACTCAGTGAGTTTCCCTTGTTATCAGTGCAAAACACCATATGTCTTTCGTTGTCTACTTTTGTTACTATCAAAACATGAAGTGTGAAATTGTATTAAAGATATTGCCCTCTTGAGAGCAAGACCACATTTAGTGTCTTGAACTTTCTGTAAAAGCCTAGTTATTATTATACTAATAATGAATGTTTATGAGTGCAATGGTAAAAATATTGTCATTTGTTGAAAGATGAAATGTTCCATTCATCTGCAGCCAGCTCAGCTGCCGTGAGATTTCTATTCACATTGTATGATACCCTGCAAGACATGGTTCCCTGCACTGCAACCAATCAGTGAGTATATCATGCATTCTTCTTCAGAGACTGCAGGGGTTAGTAAGTGAAGAGCACACTTTTTGTTACTGCTTCCTACATGTTCATCACCCTTTCACTTCAGGAATCAGTGAGATGGTAGAGATGGAAGAGTTAGCTATCTCGAAGCGACGAAATGAGCAGAAAACCTGTGCATAGTAAAACAAAGTCAAACTATAGTTGTGAGTAGGCCTATTTGATACAGCTCTTCTGAACTGGGGATTGTGCACTTTGTGCATTACGCAAACTACCAATGTCCCCTCCCCCCACCTCCACCCCCAAAAAAGTTTCAAATTATTCCACGTCCCCTTTAAAGTGATGAATTTCAAAAAGCAATTTTTGTCAAAAACAACAAATTATAATAAAAAAATGGATTTTCTCAATTTCATCAATGTCTTTGTAGATTTCAAAAGGTGGATGGGAAATCTCTGTGGATAAATAGCCCAATACTGTCTGTAAATGCTGAGCCACCTGTTGAAGGAATCTTCAAAGAACCCATCTTGATAACCCTCTCACATCAAACAGTAAGTGCATCTAATTTAAGAAATGACAGCACAGAAATCAAGCGCCTCTCAGACTATAGTGTATATAATCACTCACGGTGAAGTTATTTCTTTTGTCTGTATCTCCTCATACAGCCAGTGGCTGATCCAACCACAGCGAAGGTTGTCTGTGCATTTTGGAATTTCAGTGTGCCGTAAGTACTGCATAATGACATTTCTTTGCTTACCTAGCTAAGAGGAGAACTTTGCAGAGATACTGACCTGCCTCCAGCATCTCGTGGGAATGTCCCGTGATGCTGTTCAAGATTGCAAACTTTGCCAAAATTGGGAGATTATTAGCAAATAATTACTTCTGTCCAAAAAGCAGGGCAGGAAACAGATCGAAAATTTCTGGAAGTAGTTAAAAAAGAGCATTTGAATGGAAGTTGCCATATATCCCATAGGGTTTTGCATTTCATGCTTTTTTTTCTTATCTATTCAAATTATTTCAGAAGTAATAGCTCTTAAAGCCTGTTGAAGGTTTTTCACAAAGCCAATTATTCAAAATTGAAGTCTGTATTGTGTAATTTCTTCACTCAAAGCCTTATTGCAAGCTCCCTTAAGATTGAATAGTGATTGAACGAATTTGCTTCATAGCCAGATAACATTTTTCAGATTCAATCTGACACAAAATTTGTAAAAAGGCATATTCAGTGCAGCCAGTTTGTATTGAAATCATGTAGCAAAAATATGCCGTTCTATGGGTGTTGAATGGGAGGTGATAAAGCGAACGTAATGAAGTGTTATCATATTAGTTCTTCCAACTATGTTATCATACAAGTCCTTCCAATTATGTTTGAACATGTGCTCAACTTGAACCAACCATGCTTAATTAATGAAATTTATCCATGGCATTTTGTTTGATTCCAGGCACACAATTAACGGAGCATGGGATTGTGAGGGTTGTGAGTTACAGAGTACCAACCAGATGCAGACGGTGTGCCGATGCTACCACATGACACATTTTGCAATCATCATGGAGCCCCAACCGGATAAAGTGAGATTAAAGAAAGTAGTGCCAAAATTAATGTTTCTATTATCTCATGGAATTAGGAGAGATTCACTGAATTAGTAATCAGTAATAAGATGAGCCATATTCAGATGTCGGTTTTTTCATCAAAGACCCAACAACCAGCAAACAGTTGCTGCATAGAGGGCAATCAGGGAATCTTCCTTCAACTTTCTGAAAGCAACCTACTTTCAGCCCCTCCCCAGTTTGGTAGTGTGACCATGACAGTAATTTAAAGGCAGAATGAAAGAATGGAATATAAAGGCTGACAGGTTTGAATCCCACTGCAGTCAATAATGAATCTCATGAGTTACTCAGTTTCTGCATATTTGAATATTCATTTGACCTTGCAAGAAAAAAAGGAAGAGAAAACGAATGGCATGATGTTTTCACAATTCAAGCCAAAGAGTCATCATCTCTGTTCAACATTTTGAAGAATTCATCCTCTTAGGTACACTTGTTTGCAAAGAACAACTCTTTAATTTCTAACATGTTGTTTCTACACTCGACAATCCGTTTCAGGAGCTGAGTACAGATGCAGTTGTTCTGCGCTGGCTTTTAAGGTGTCTGGTATGCTTGTCTGTGTTGCTGCTGCTGACTTTGATGATTGCATACATCGCATCAAAGTAAGTTGTGTCCAAAAACCTTTAAATCTTCAGTTAAATTAAGAAATTCCTCATTTCCAAACTGTTGGAGTGCCACATTTGCTACATGCTTTGGTAACATGTAACTTCTGAGCAGAGTTTTTTTTACCAGTGATAGTAGGTGCTGAGATTGGTATTGTATGAAGTGTGCTGATTGTTGGGATGATTTAGAATCTTCCAGCACCCACCCCCACTCCCCCACACACAACGTTCCCAGGGGCAAATCTAGGATTTTTCAATCGGGAGTGTGTGACCTAAATCTTTTAGAGTTGCAGCCATATAATTAGGGAGGTTGGGTGACTGGAAGCAGAACTGTGTTTTTTACGCCTTTGTCACATATTTGGGCCCTCCCTCTTTTTCTCCTATTTACTCATTTATTTATTTTTTGGTGAAAATGAGGGGGGGGGCTCATGTGCCCCCCAGATCTGGTTCCGCCCCTGATTCCTGAGATTCAATTTATTAAAACTTCAGGTATGGAGATAAATAATGAACTTTCTCACAGAATCGACTTATTGACATAATGTGACTACCTGTGACTTCCTTTGTATAATTTAGTACTTATTTGTTCTTACATTGTTCTTTTGTCCCAAAACATTCGGACAGTTTCATGGATCTTTTTGTATGTCACCTGCTAAATATTAGGACAGACTTAAATTTCCAAGTGTCAGTGGAGCTGTGGTCTTCTACAGTCCTACCACAGAGCAAAGACACACAGAGGAGACAAAGCATGTTTCCTGTCCTTAATTTTCAGTCTTCAGTTCAATTACCAGTCCTTGAAAATAGGTTTGTGCGTACTTATTCTTTGAGAAAATGTTATATCATAGGAAATAAACCGAAGCATAATGTCTTGTTCTTGGAAGTAGTAATTTATAATGATGTGCTCTTGCTGTAGACGCTTACACACCTTACGTCATTCCATTCATCTCAACCAGTGCCTGGCTTGTCTCTTGGCATCGTTGGTCTTTGGCCTGTCAGAGATAACAAGTGAAGATGAGGTAGGCAGGTTACCTTAATGCAGTTCCTCCTTAATTTTGTGACCAAACTTGTGTATTCTATCAAAGACGTGCTCTTAAAAAAATAATGTACAAGTGTATAAAACAGGCATTGTGGAACAGTAAGCCAATCATTCCATTAAGATCAGCTTGCCTAGCTTTTTTTTCAATCTCCAGGTCTTCTGTTTAGTCTCTGGGGCTACCATGCACTACCTCTATCTTGCTGTTGTCTTCTGGTCAACCATGGAGATATGCCAGCTGTATCGTGACACTACCGTAGGGGGCATGGATACCAGTGATGCCATGAAGGGTTTCACTGTGTGGAGGAACAGAATGAAATACTACATGATTGGAGGATGGGGTATGCAGTTGACCAACTAACTTTGTGAAGACTTAGTTTTACTTGTCACTGTTATCGTTTTAACACACAGTATGTTTGCTTCAGCCAGAATATTTTTTTTTCTTTTTTGTGGTAGTGTTTCCGCACCATGCTCATGAGTTAGACTTTTCTTGTTTCCTTTCCGGTGCATTGTTTCAACTCAAAGGATAGAATGAATATGTGAAAGCATTCCAAATCAGACCGAAAGCCTGCAAGTAGCACGGTTTCAGCTGACAAATATTAAATAATAGTAAGACACACTTTTGCAGGAATGTGCTTTTCTCGCACAGTGCTGAATACAAATGTGCTTTGACCAATTACTCAAGATTATAAGAATTTTAAAGATGTAAAGCTGTACAGATTGTAAAGGAGCCCCCATTCTATCCATAGTGAGATCAAACTGTGACAATTTAATTATGATCATATAATATGCTGCAGGCAAGTGTTTAGGATTTGGCTTCAACTAAAACACATGCATCAATGGGAGATATAGGCTATGGTGGCAAACTTCATTTTCTGTAGAAGAGTATACATTCCTTCAGCAGTCGGATACGCACACCGTACAAGCAACTCTTTAAGAATGATATAAATTTGAAATCATGTATCTCCATCATTGCTCTTTCTTGTCATTCTTAGGTTTCCCCGCAGTGGTGGTTGGATCCCTTATGGCTGTGTCTAAACAGGCATACAGACCTCAGGCACATGATCTGTAAGGTGTAGAAAGTAACTGTTGGCCATTTAATAGTGCACTGACATTACAGCCGGGGTCGATGACGATAATGATCACACAGCAGACTGCTTTTAGGCTTATTTTCCTTTTTACCTATGGAAATGATAGTTTGAAAGGAGTGGTCTGGGCATGTTGTGGTTGCCATTTATCTAATGTCAACAGTTTTCAAAAGACACCTGTCAAAAATTATTTGCAATTTTTCTTTTCCTTTTTTTAATAAGAGTCCAGATAAGATCATTTCATTTGGCATTTGGTTTGTGGTCCATTTGATTTAGTTCTTTGTAACTGTTCAGAACACACTTACAAAACAATCATTCAGAATACAGGAAAAGACCTTTTCATTTTCCAATGAAACACCAGCAATTATACAACTCTCCTTTTCCACAAAGTAGTTTATCTTCCAGAAAAAAGGGAAATGTGCTAGATAGTATTCCCAGAGTGCCCAAAGGGCCATTGGCCCAAATAAATTATTTGAATAAATGGTTTGTTGCAAACTGTTGCGACTGGTTTAAAGCTGTTTTTGGATATCCCTTGTGTTGTAGTTGAGTACTTTAAGAGTACCAAGCTCGCTGTCAATTATTGAACTGGTTAGGAGGGAACAAAGTTGAAGAACATCGGCAAAAGATGGTAAATGCACAAAGCTAAGATTACAAAATAACATGATGATATGACCTTCACTTTTTAATAGAAATTTAGTTTGTATGACAAAAGTACTCAAAAAGTATTTTTCAAAGACTTTTCTCCTTAAAAATTAAATTTCTACAAAACAAGGAGTGTCTGAAGTCTTCAATTTATTTTGTAATTCTAATTTTGTGCATCTACCATCACATGACCATGTAATCCAGCTTTTTTCTGAACCAGTTTAAAAGTTGGCAGAGAACCCATTACTGGAGAAATGCTCAACTACAACACTTGACACCCCTTGGCTGAAATGGCATCTGATATCTGAATTTGATTTCATTCCTGGATTTTAGTTGCTGGCTTATTGAGGTGGATGGAGTGCCCTGGGCATACTCTGCTCCCTGTTGCTTGGCTCTCTGTGTAAGTAGGCCTGTATGTAAACTCCCACAAAATATTCTCATTGATTTACAAAGATCTCCTATACTAATTGCCTTCATCTTCCTCTTAGTGCCAACTCAAAATGAAACATTGAAGTAAAAAGTGTTTTGTGCTGGTAGGTGGCAGCCTGAACATGCTAATAATCATACCTTTGGTCAGCCTATATGGATGTCATGTGCAGATGCTTATAAATGTGATAAGGAGAAAACTCAGATAAGATTTGTGCACATTCAGGTGAAATTATTTGTCGCCCATCCCCCTTCCAAGTCTTGGATACACAAATGGTGCCATTCCATTTTAAACATAAATTTGTTCTTAAAACATGAAACAAACTATATAGGGAAACTGATAAGGTACTTATAAATGAAATAAAGATGAACAAAGAAATCGACTGGAGCAAGATTTGAACCTGCGACCATCGGAATGCTGTACCGTTGCTCTACCAACTGAGCTATCCAGCCCTATGTTAGTGGATCTTCCCATTGGTCAATATATCTGTTCACGGGTGCAAGCCAGAAGCCATTAAACCTGAAACACCATATGGCCAGGGATCACGCCCCAATTACACGATACAACCCGGGAAGTGGTAAACAGGGATCACTCAAAGAGGATACGGCTTATTGACAAATGGGAAGAGCCACTAACATAGGGCTTGATAGCTCAGTTGGTAGAGCACAGGTACGGTATTCCAGAGGTCGTAGGTTCAAATCCTGCTTCAGTCAATTTCTTGGTTCATCTTTATAATCATAAATTTGTTCTGTAAGATTCACAATGGAAACAAATCATACTTTAGCTGAGTTCCGTCATTTGTAAGGTAACATTCACCAACCCCATCGTCCCCCCCCCCATTTAGGGGCTGTTAAATCATGGTAAGTGATGTGTACAACACCTTTGTGCAGGTGAACATTTTTGTCCTGATATTGGTGATGAGGGAGACCGATGACACGCTGCGCAAGCTGGATAGAACCACAGGCTTCAGGTAGGTATCCGTGACTGAATGGAATGGAGGAGCTGCCAAGTACTACATACAGTGAATACCCAAATTATGTGTATAAAAGGTATTAGTGGAGGAACCATCACATGAATTAACATGCGTGTACTGCATTCGTTTGCACTACACCTGGTTCAAAATGACGTCAGACTTCGGTACTCTGTGATGAATGCCCTGAATAAGTTTAGTGAGAGTATGTATGAGGCTCTACCAGTCAGTGGCTAGGGAGAGGAAATTCTTACCCCTTCAATATCCATCATCTCCAGGACATCCCCTCCCTACGTATGAATTTTCTGATGGTCACTGCCTTCATATAATTTTTTTTCAGTAAACTCCCCCCTAAACAAATCTCTCGAAACTTCTGCCATCAGCAACCACAAGGATGCAGTCATTTTTAAGCAACAGTTGCATTTTCAAGAGTATTCAGTCATGCAAAAATGTGTCATTATCTATGGGCTATCTATGATTTGTCATTTCTCATTAGGTCCAGTGTACGTGGTGCCGTCTTCCTCACCATCCTGTATGCTGTCACCTGGATGGTTGGTTGGAAGGCAATCTACGGTGGCCCAGTGTGGACGAGCTACTTGTTTGTCATCTTGAATTCCCTTCAAGTAAATCACAACTGTAGTTAAACATGTGCAGTGGTAACACTTTCATTTTAGTGTTGAGCCAATGGAAAGTAATGCAAATGAATGTACATCATTACACGTAGAGTACGAGTGACACGCAAGGAGTTTTACATTGGCAGGTTATAGGTGCCGTGGCCTCATTTCCCGGTACCTCCACAGAACCTTTATAACATTTAAGTTCATAAAAATGAGACTGTTGTCAACATTGGAATCACACACCAGATCAGTTTTTTTGATTGAGAGCAATGTAGGAATAACTGATGATGTGTTATTACACTGAGCACATTTAATCATTTTTTTTAAAGATTCTGTCAAATTGAAATTGTCCATCACACCAACATGTCTCTTAATCCTCAATATATACTCAGTCTGGGTTGCACTGTTCTTTTTAACTTCTTTACTGCCTATTTCTTAGGCATTAGTTTAGACAATAATATAGGTCCTGACCCTTTTACCTTTTCCTTGCGTTTATTTTCTAGGGATTCTTCTTCTTTGTTCTGCAAGGATTTGGCAATGTGGAGGTAACTGTTATTGTGTTAGATCTTCATTATAATCTTGATAAAGGTTGTAAGCTACTTGAAAAGAAATCTTTGTAAATTCAGGTGTGTGCCTGTATCTTCATGGTGGCATCAAATATTAAATATCAATCCTACCTTACCCGTTTGGTTTCCCTTCTTTGGAAAGAAAAGTCAGGCAGAATCAAGGTTGTCTGAATACATCCTTGTCTGTGCTTTTCATGCACCTTTAAATTGCTTTTTCAAATGTCATTAATATGGTTACTATTTCTTTCCAGGTGCGAGCACTCCTGTGCCGAGATGATCCAGACCTGGAGCTGGCACTAGCCAATAATACCTCTCTTGTGAGTAATGAATGTTGCAACGTCCCCGGGCAGTCGTTGGCCAGATTGGGCGATTGACTTCCTAAAGTTGGAAATGTGTAGGCCTACACTAGAAATTTCCTAGCCTAAGGAGTGGAGGCTGTACTCAATAAAAGCACCTCATAGGTGCACAAGGTTGGCTTTCAAATGAAAGAACAAGATAAAATGCTACTTACAGCAGTAAGTTCACCCTGTTGTTTCTTGTCTGTAGTCACCAAAAACGTAACATCTGACAGCTGAAGGTTTCCTGGACATTGTCCTGCATTCCTCTGACTGCCGCCTCCACATCGCTGTGTGTGCTCACATGTCTGAGCAAACACACGCCAAAAATCTTAATTTGCATTCAGAGTGGGCGCTCTGCCAACTTTGCAGTGGCGCAGTATATCATTGCAATAGTTACAATTACAATTGTTATGACCAAAGACTACTTTTAGCCAATCACGAAGAAGTTTAACTGTGAAGGCTTGTCAGACAATTTCTAGCTACCTAGAAGCTAGCCTATTGAAGAAATATAGCAACAGCGCTTGCACGCCAGCTAGGGGCGGAATCTTAGTCTCTGCAGGGTGGAGAATAAACTCCCGGTAAGGGATGGATTGGATGACTCGGCCTTGATCACTCATGTAATTTTATTTCTAGTTGATCAGTCCAGACACCATGGGTCCTAGGTACCAAAAGAATGGTTCGCAGGCCTAGGCCTGAATTGAATATTCGAATGCAAGAAAAATTGCACTATGCACTATGCAGGCTTGTTTCAAGCAGGTTCAAATAAAAAGCAACAGAAATCTTACAACGATTCACAAAGTAAACGGAATAGAAATTTGAACAGGGTAAGAAGTATATTTGTTTCTTAAATCTTGCTTAATCGTGGCTGGATATACTCCTAGATATGAGAAGCTATTATAGTGACTATAATATACAACTGTGTGCATTATAGCAACTGATTTTGTATATGGTTTACTTTAATCCTCAATTACCTGCTGGTCGGTATGACCGAATATTTAGATATTCAATTGAATTGAAGGTTGAATATTCAAAAAGTGAATTATTTGAATTAATTCAGCCTGTTAAAAGACTAACTGTTAAAAGAAAACTATATGGCTTGGATATGCAAATATTATCCAAATCTGATCTCAATTGCAGGTGCTGGAGCAGCCAAGAGAGAAACCAAGTTATGGTAAGATTGAAGTTTGCAGAGCCCGATACCTTACCTTAATTATTATACCTATCATTACATCCACTACTGTTTCAAGTACCATGTCTACTGTATCACCTTCATGACAGGTGGATCTGTAAGAAATATTTTTGGGTTGGGCTAAACTTGAACTGAAAAATGTTGGTGTCCTCTAGCAAAGGAAGTAAAGACCATGTCAAGCTAGAAACAAGGGCAGGTTTAAAACAAATTTGTTTAGGAGGTGGAGAAGATAAAAAAATGGGGGGCAAAGAATGTGCACATATTTATGTAACCTTTTGTGGCCTTTTTAGGGGTGAGGCTAATTGTTGGGATTTTTCCTCTTTGGAAAGAAGGGAAGTGAAATGTCCCCCCAATTCTCATTATTAAAAAAATAGACCAATCAGTCTCCTTTTTTATTGAATTGACATTACACTTTGATTGTTTGATTGTGAAATGCAAAATATTATACCTTAACCAAAAAACAATTTGGGGAAGACCACATTGTGATGATATTGTTTCATCTTTTTGAAAGGCTGAGCCAATGTCGCAGTCGCCCAAGGAAACATGTTGCTATCTCTCACCACACAAAAAGTCCGTCCATGGAAAGAATAATGATATGAAGCTTTTCATTTTTCACACGAGAAGACAATTCATTCCTGGTTTGGGTGAGATGTCATATCTAAAGTTCTGCTGAAACAGAATAATGTATATGTCTTCTCTTGTGCTTGTACAGCCGAATCTGCAGTTTATGGACCTGAAGACCCATCGCAACCATCAAGGAGATCTTCTCATCAGGTTATCTATTAGTCATGTGGTCCCGTGAATAGGGCCAAATACAGAAGTATGTATGGAAATAAATCTCTCTGTCATTGTAGCCTTGGGAAATGTTTGGAAGGAGATATACACATTGTCTTGCAAATTGATTTCCAGATAAGAATCCGTCTTTACGTTTTTCCAGCAAGGGAATTGTAAGTGGGAAATACCCTAGATATCTACTTTTAATTTGCAGATGAAATTGTAAAAAAAATTTATTTGTACATGCTTCAATGCACGTTTACCGAAGATCGTATGGGATTTAACCTTAAGCTTTAAGCTTGATCTCATTGCTATTCCTGAAGACACGAACAAAATGGGAAGATGGAATATTGATCACCCTTTGGGGGATTGTGGTGTTTTTTGGCCTTTTTCTAATTTCATCATAGAGGTAGCTTGTTAAGTTGGAAGATACCACTCAAACGACATTTTCCACAGCTTTTAAAGTCTCACATTTTGGAGTGCTTTTCTCACCTCACTGCAGACACGTCTAACTTTGATTTCTGAAATTCTTAAAGAATCTTCTTCACTTCAGTTCCCCAAATTGGCTGATGGTCATGATACACAACAAATGGGAGTCACAAGGTTTGTTTTTGTACTAACTAAAGTAACACTCTACTTTTGTCTAAAATGATATTCCATCTTGTGTTTTCTTAGGTCAAGAATGATAATCTTTAAAGTTCTTTCTGATAGTCACTTTGGCAAGAAAAACACAACTTGAGTGATTTTGGAAACAAAATTTCTTAATGCTTTGGTCTTGAAATATATTCTTCAAAGAGGGAATTCAGTTGAAAACTGCTAGCTTATAATCGGACGATCTGTCCGTGCAGTGCATTTAAAAATTTAATTCCAATATTGTCTTCGTGTATTGACTTGCAATGATGCAAGGAATCAGCTCTTTAATACTTTCAACTTTTAGAGGCAATATCTGTAGTTTTACTGAGCCAGAAAAGTTCATGAGGTTGCCATTACCCAGATGAGATAGGTATAAACAACATTTTTTAGAAACCTCTTCATATTGTTATTAGTAGCATCTGAGTACGAGAGGTCGCTAAAATTTTTGTTTTGTTGCTGAGATATCAGTATGTGTTAATGTGTTCCTGTAGTGTAAGCCTATTTTGGAATACAGTCAGGAAGCAAACTTCATTTGAAAATGTAGGTTTACATGGGGTTATGTAATTACAGAGTAAATTACAGCACTGTTCTCTTGTACTGTAAAATCTTCCTTGCTTTTCAAAACTTCAAGAGCTTAAGTGATCAGAAGTTGTTTCAAGTTATGTGCTTATCTGTGATTCAGTTGATGGGGGACCTTTATCAGTATTCGTGTTGTGAGATCATGAAGATAGAGAGGTCTGTTCTAGTTTAGTATAATGTCAGTTGTATCTGTCATTTTATTGTTCAGTTGTTGAGTATTATCAATTATTTGTTTTGAATCTGTAAAATTGTATGGCTTAGATATCATAAACAAGGTATAAACTTATTTTATGACACATGGTATGTCAGAGATTTTAGCATAATGGGGTGAAACTTTCACCCATGACCATGCATCAAGAATTTATGCCACAGTCTGTCGTGGTATGACGTTGGGCCGGGTTTAGGGAAGCTCTCCTCCCCCCCCAAAAAAAAAGATTCAGAGTCCTCATCTTGATCATCGGGAAAGTCACAGTAAAAGGTAATTTGGGCAAATAATACTAGTCGGAAAACTTACAGTTCTGTCCGTTTATTGGGAATTATTTTAGTTTTTAAGGATTTCAACAAATTGCTTGAAATAACATGGACAGAATCTTTATATGTTCACCCATATATAAATTAGAAATAAGCAATATTAGGAATAACCAATAAAACCTATCCTTTATTGCACTGATATTGACTGGAATTCCCTGACATTCACTTCCCTGTCGCTGTACTCAGATGTATCACCAAAACAGTTTGATAAATCATCATAGAATTCCAATGAAAATTCAAACTCAAACCATTAGATACCCTCTGAAAAAACTAGTTTTGTATTATATAATTATGTAATCTTATGTAATTGCCATGTTTCTTTTTTTATTTTTGAGACAGTGCTGCAGTTTCATGGTAGGTAACTTTGCACTTATGTATAAAATAGGTCTTATGTTTTGTAAAAACTGGGGCAACTTGGTTAACTTCGGCAGAACTACCGGGGGGATGGCCACGTACCCCAGTAGATGTTTGGCCCCCTCCAGGTGGCCCCACCCCAGTTTGGAGTCTTGAAGTGAACGAAAACTATTTACGAGCTGTTGATTGTTAGCTTTCAGCCTCACATACCCCAATTTAACCACCACCCCCAAAGTCTAATCTTAGTTATGCAACTGCAGAATACTTCACCAATTCTGCGTTATTAAATATTCATTTTCAAAGCTACAGATTAAAAAAATTATAATAGGCCTATGCGCACCAAGTGAGATCCTAAAACTTCCTTGGGACCGGTTTATGAAAATGTAGATGGCTATAACTGTCCGCTTTCATTTTAGTGATCAGCGTGTTGGGATGGGGGGTTGTTCAGAGGATAATGTCTAAAGAAATTTTGTATTCATTGGCTGAAACCGCACGGAAGATTGAGATCTTCTCCCAAAACATGAGATTGACGTCTGAATATTTTTTCATCTCATTTTATGTGTTTAGTAGTACTGTTACGCAAAATGGCGCCACCATCACACAAACACGCGTCCAGGACCTATCAGTACTTCAGTTGCTGCCAATACTCTTTGTGAATCTTTGTTTTGGACATTATCGATTAAACATGGCCCAGGCTCCCTGAAAATCAATACGAAATGATCTTGTCATTTATTTAAAAGCTTAACACAGCACCTTTCTCTGCTGATTTTTATTGTAACTCAAAAAGGTTCGACATGAAGATCAGGGTTTGTAGTTTTGGTGACTCGTTTGACTTAATGTCTTTTACGTTGAAGCAGACAAACCAGACTTTCAACTTACACCTCACTTTGTTGAGGCTCCGAAGAAACTGTTATTTAAGTCTTGAAAATCGATCAACTTCTTCGCACAGTTATTGATTTCGGCTTTGCGTCATTCGCTAGCAACTGACGAACCTTGTAGTGAGCTTTGTGTAGCGCGCACCGTTATGTCACGTTATATGCAAAACCTTCAGGCCGTGTCCGTGAAGTTTTTTACTGTTCAATCATCAACCACTAAGCTAACCTTTTCCTGGCGATGAACGACAAGTCCATAGGATGTCGGCATGTAAGTACGAATTCAATTTAGGCAATTATGTTTTTTAACTGTAAGTTGTTATGAAGGAGTTGTAATAGTGAAAAGTTGACCGCAGATACAGTTTAAAAGCCCACTGGCAACTTCGGAAAGTTGGGATATTTATTTAGAAAGGTCATCATTCGCCAGGTTTTTCAAATACTGAAAAAAAGACGAGAAGCCACACAAAATAGAAAATGAACATTAATTACTCCCTGTAGCAATTAACTCGATCTGCACTTGGCAGATGTAGGTTTGGTTTCATTTTTAAAAGGTAATAAACATCCAGAGAGTCTAATGCACTCAATTCCTAATTTCTCGCGGGTAAAATTTCCAGGGGATAAAAAAACACGAGCGCCATTAAAATTAGAATGCATAAACATTAAATTTGACTTGTATCCCGCCTTATATTAAACAGATGTGACAGATCGACGGCTCTGTTCATTGGTGAAAGAATACCTTTGCGGATGCCAACAAACGATAATGATATTGATGAAACGATCTGAAACGAGGCCGAGCAAGCCAGTCGGAGACGGAGATATGAGATGGAAACGTTTACGAGGCGTGTTATACACACAAATCGACCGAAGCATGCAGCTGTCTACCTTAGACGATATGGAGGGCTACCCTGATAAAAAAGAACCCCCTTTCTCTTTCCGACTTCCACACCTTGACTCTCCTCTATAAAAAAGTCTTTCTTTTCATTTACATGTTTTATTGCATTTTTCATGATGATTCATATTGCGAATATTAAGCTGGCGGTGTGCGCAGGCGGTCTGCGCGGGCGAGGCTTAGCATTTCTCTGTGAGATGTTTTGACCATGATTTTCGTGATTGCTTTCTATATCTTTAACATATTGTTTCCATAGTGCCGTATTTGCTTATATGTAAACGAATCAACGCAGACAGGTGAGGAATCAATTTCTCATGTATGGTGTTATGATAAAAAAAAATCATAGTTTAACAGTTTTTGAGAGACGTAAACAACCGCTTATACTGATTATTGTGTTAAATTTGTCAGTACCCAAATTATCATTATTTAAGTGATGCCATAACTCTGTTTGGAAATTCTGTGACTTATTTCTGTCGACAAGAACCCAATTCTGCTGACTCCCAAGACTATACTTGAAGCCTATAACTTCATTTCATTGTACACTCAAAGTGACGAATGCTATATCTCTGACCAAAAGGTTCGAGTATGTTTTGTTAGCGAGATCATGAACATTTTAAAGTATCTGACCACTAACTAATGACGAATATGCGATTATTTCAGCTGTGGGAACTTGTTTCTTTTCTCCTTGCTTCAACGGAGCTGCATGCGTCGATGATTCGGATTTGATCCAGTACACGTGTGACTGCACCGGCACCGGATATGAGGGAACTCACTGCGAAACAGGTAGAGTGTTAAAACTCTCAGTCTCAAATAAACCTTTTCGTACTTTGTATTTAGGCCTCTACAGTTTGGAGTTGAGGGTTAGGGCTAGAAAACTTCGAAACTATTGTTTTCAGTTTCGGAGATTTGTTTTCTTTATTTCGAAAAATTTTGAAAGATTTTGCCGTAGTTTCTAGATCATTATGCCATATGCCTTATTCCTCCACTGTGACCTTTCCGTGACGTCACAAAAGGCCCTCGGCTCATTAGTGAGAGTGAAAATAGCCATCTATAGGCCTATCCGGTATCCTGGTTCACTAGTTTGTAAATCTACGGTCTATTCCCCTCTACCGCTGCGTCTCACAAAAGATTTGATCATTCCGGAGGAACATCCTTTTGTTCCAGGAATGAAAATGAGCTGAGGTATCTTCCCGAGCACTTAATAAAAGTTGGAAATTCTCCTTATCGATCCTTACGAAATCAAAATTCTCCTTTTGTTAGTGTTAAGGGAATAATCTCGATATCCCAACCGATGGGAGAAATTTGAAAGAGGACTGTGTGTGCATCATTTAATTTCCAGTCCTCTTCGCAACATTAATTGTAACTTATATCGAAACCATTATATTTCCAAATTGATCACTTGAGAGACATTTTGTGGTAAATTTTTCAACATTAGGGAGACATCGATCATTAGGAAGACATTTAAATGTCTCCCTACTGCTCCAACTACCAGAAGGAGGCCGAATTTTACCGTCCAAATTTTGACTCTAAATTGAAAACGTACAAAGTTTGGTTCAGATCAGATTAGGGAATATTTAATTATGGGACAGTAAAGTTTGTGCACGTTCCTATGGGAATGTCTCCCAAGTGACCCATTTTCGGTAATATGTAAATGCCTCATCTTTTCGTGGATAATACATTTCCATTCCATGATGAATCGAAAGTTTTGCCATTATTTTCAGCAATTGTATGAGTGTCTTAGCCCATTTACGGTACTGCACTGTACTGTACTTCGGTTTTGCAATAATCGCAGAAGTGAACCGATAGGTGGCGCTACTACCAAACATGGCGGGATATTTGGGTTACTGATACAGTGATAAGCGAGTCGGCGAGTTGTTCTTTCTGGATTTTGATTTTGACCTAGGCTACAGACAGGGCCTTGTCATGATTTCGTTGGCTAGCAGTAAAGGGAAGGTTGGCATTAGTTTCAGGATGAAGAGTTTTCCAGATGTTACGAGTTTCCTCGTTGGAAAATCCTCAGTGCAGGTTGTCACGATTGTCGAATGGGGTTTGGGGACCCGTTCCGAGGCTAGTCCAGTCCTACATATGAAGGGAGACCTACATTTTAACTTTTGGATCCACGTTGGTAGATGGCTATGACATCATGCTCAGTAACTGTACTGGGTTAGGGTTGATGTTGTGTAAAGACGGAAGGGTTTTGAGGGAAGTTATATGAGGGGAAACTTTTTTTATTGACACGACAGTTGACACATGTCATGCTTCATTGCATCATGTTGGAAGCGAGTCCAACACTTGGACAATTTTAGGCTTTTCTATCTTTCATTTAATTTGCTGTTTCCATTTTCTTATTTCCAGAGCAAATATGTAGCAAAGATCCTCAAAATATATGCCAAAAGTACAGAAGAATCCCTGCCATAGGCCTACTTGTTCTTTTCAATGATAGACTTTTCAAGGAGACTTGCATGCAATGTAAAGTCAAAATTGAATTTTGTTTTCCATGGAGTGATCCCAATCACGGGTGCGGCCATTTTGGTTTCCAATGTGTGATGTCACGTTTTCATTTTTCCTGGTTTTTCGTGTGAGAGTTATGTAAAAAATTCTTGCGAGATTTGGACAGAGAATGAATTAACAAGCTTTTTGATGGGACCAACCTTTGATGACTTTGGTTTATTTTGAAGGTAGTAAAATCCTTTTTTATAGCTCCATGGTAAAATTATCTTCTACGGAGAAGCACATGTACCTGTGAATCAAAAAGTGATTTGTTCCCCTTAACTTCGAACATTTTTTGGTGAAAACCTACTTAGAAGGAGGCTAAGGAGGCTAGAAAAGATGATTTTGGGAACTTTGAACATTTCCCAATACAGTGGTATAGACTAGAAATGCATTTTGGGTGAAACTAAGATTTTCACTTATGGGCATCACTGCTTTCCCCCTACAAGTTATTTATCGGCCATCAGAAAGTGATAACAATTACTAAATAAAGTACCTCCAGAACTGGGGGGGGGGTTGCTACGCTGCCATGTGGAAGCACAGCGGACATCGAACCCCACAGTTCAGGGAGGTGGGGGTGGGTAAGGTGGGAGGTGAAAAAAGTGCTATTCCACCCACCTGCTTCCCTGTTGAAGTCTTGGTCTTTACGTTAAAGATCTTCTGTTATTCGTCTAGAGTTTCAACAGCTGTGACATTGTTTTCCTATTGCTTTATTCATCCTGTTAGATGTTGATGAATGCATGGTCGGAACTCATGACTGTGTGGAAACTGGGAGCTTATGCAACAACACCATAGGATCATTTGAGTGCTACTGTGACTCCAGATATGAAACAGGAGTGGATGGTCACGACTGCATTGGTAAGGTTGAGTAAAGTAATTGTTAAATCCTAACAGGACTCCATGGTTCACTCGTTGGAAGATTGAGGACTGTTTTTGTTTTTTTGCATGATTTTCTTTGGCACATTGTGTTTAAAGGAGTTTCCACATTGTTGAATGGGTTTAAACTTGCATTTGTAGCTAAAAAAGTTAGAAACAAGAAGTCAAATATGTGGTAAATTTAGCTCATTTTCTCCTTCCCCTCACCAAAAAAAGTAGCAAGGAGAAGAAAATGAATGGAGGGCAAGAACCAATTTTTTTATTGGCCTAATATGATTTATATACAAATCAATCACCACCCATCCCAATCCCAACCCACCCTACATTGAAAAGTGGACTAAAATCTGACCCAAAGCCCTATGGGGCAGTTGAGGGGCACTGGGGAACCATTCAGAAGGTGTTTAATGTGCAGATCTGTGAAATTTAGATTCAAGATTGGTGTGTGACATACTGTTAGATTTCAATTGAAGACTGGCTGCATCTGGACATTGTTTCATTGTAGATAAAAAAAAAAGCGAAATACTTAAGCCCCGGATTTGAAACAGAAAGCAAACAAATTTTTTATCTGAAAACTAAAGGTGTCTGTAATGTTTTGCATTTACTTAAATTAACAGTGGAAATCAAAAGCCGTAAGCAAATGATTTAAGATTTAAAATTTCAAGACAACTGGGTGTAGAAATTGTTTCTTTTAAGCATTTATGTGAGCCAGTGGCACACTACCTACCATTCTGCTTTAGAGGATCAGGAATAATTGATTGAATAGTAAAATAGAAAAATATAAATGTAAATAATAATGATAAAATAATAATGTTTTCAGAAAATGATTCCATTTTCCCCCTTCTGCAACCCCCGGACCCAAGACCTGGATAGACCACTGATGTGAATGAAGTATCCATAGTGCATACAGACGTGCTTCAACTTGAATTGATTTGGTTTTCTGTTTGTATTTCAGAAATTGACGAATGCACTGATGGCTTGCATGATTGCGATGCCGTCGCCACCTGCAACAACACTATTGGATCCTTTACTTGCACATGCAACTCGGGCTACAGTGGAACCGGGAAAAGTGGCCAATGTACAGGTGTGTCTGCAATGACGCATGGCACTGAAGCTTCTGTGCCACGACATTTTGACCAGAAAGTGCACTAGTGTGATATGTCAGGATTTGTCCCAATCTCAGGAACTTTGACCTCCAAGTTCTGGACTTGTAGAGGTTTATTCATCAAGATTTTGTTGCATTTTTTCAAGAGTGTAAGATTCACATAATCATAGTCATTTATTTGTTAACTTGTTTTGGTAGCCATTATAAGCCTAAAAGTCTCAATACTTGGTATTATCAAATGATATCAAGCGAGGACAGTTTGAATAACTGAATGTTCATATATTTGAGCTTCCATTCAATCAAATATTGAGTCATACCAAATTCACCCGAAAGCAGAATATACAATATTTTTACAAAAGACAACAAGCAAGTTTTGGCCTTATAAAGTAGTCAGCCATAATCATTCAACTTTTTCCTGTTTCATTTAATTGATTTGCACCTTGGAATACTCAATTTTGAAAATAAATTTAAAATTTTTGATGAACAGTCTATTTTCCGAGTATTTGAATAATTGGCACAGCCCTAGGCTGTTTCTCCACTAAATTGAGGAGAAGCCGCTGCTGTGAAGCCATTACATTCACACCACTTGTCCTTTTAAACTCTGGGCGCGCATAAATTATGGCTCGTCACAACCTCCCATGAGCCTCGAGCTAGACCAAAGAGGGCGCAATTTGCCTAGCAGTGCGAGCTCCTTTGGTAAGAACTTCACTTTGCTGGTTCACAAACGAGTATGAAATGCGTGCGTGACGGTCGCATTGCTACCAACAGAATGAACACTCCCCACTAACATAACTCTTTTCTACCGATCAGGGGGTGCTTCTGCTCAAGGCGGATTGATTGAGGAGGCAAGCTCTGTGCAGGTTCCGCAGTAGTACTAATTCAGATCATCAAATAAGTCTACTTAGCTCTAACCCCAGTGTTTGCTTGTCAAAGAGTCCACTCATATTTATCCTTCGTCTTGCAGATGATGACGAGTGCAGCCTGAACACCCACGACTGTCATTCCGATGCCATCTGCACCAACACAGTGGGCTCCTTTACCTGTGCTTGTGGCTCTGGCTTCACTGGAGACGGTCAAAGCAGCGGGTCTGGATGCACAGGTAAAACTTTCCGAGATTATAAATGCGTGCCACTTTGACCTATTGCAGGGGTCACTGATATTTGTGGAAGTGGAAATATTGTGTCCTACCAATGGCGTAATCAGTGAGAATTCGTGAAATCAAATCAACATAGAGTAGCATGCCTTGCATCGTAGTTGGTGTTGAAATCAACTCTGCAGCATTTAGGCAAGCGATGGATACTTACCCCCCCCTCCGAATAGTGTGTTAAGAGTGCCTCTTTATATGCCTTGCACTGTGTAAAAGGTCCTAGTGCCTTGTTCACTTTAAACAGCGCTGAAATGAAACAGATGGTTATGAGCCCTTCCTCCACCACCCCTGGTTATTGATGTACTGGCTACCTTTCAGCATGGATGCTGAGTGCCTCTGTTCACATTTACCCATCAATCAAAATGACCTTGCTACACCACTACAGATGAAGAGCACTGCAGTGAATATATCACTCACATGATTATGTGTGTATAAGGCATTAGCGCGAGAACCAGCACGTGAACCAACACGCGTACGCACTCCATGTGTTCGCACTGCACTTCCTGGTTAGAAATGATGTCACACTTTAGTACTGTATAATCATTAGATTCGTCAGTGGTGTTTGGTTTTGAGAAAAAGAAACAACAAAAACAAACAAATAAACAAACAAACAACCCAACAAACAAAACATCATTGGTGATGTTCATAGTTTGATGATGAAACATGGTGAGACTCATGTTTCTGTATGTAAGCTGCACTGAGTTGAAGTGTACTCTCACTGGCAAAAAAAAAAAAAGGGTTGATGAAAAGTTTCCCAAGCAAGCCCATGCACGTGCTCAGCACACGTGAAGACTGACTGCACATACATGCACATTCAACCAGAATTTGAGTTTCCACCAAAAGATCATCATTGCCACGTTAAAACGTGCACTCTCTTGATCCCATCCACAGCACATACCCTCAATGTACAAATCTCCAAATTATTGATGGGTCACATACTTGTACATTATGGCAGATGGTTTACCAGAGTACTGTCTTATGTTTATTGACTGCAAATATTTGTCTTAAAAATGTTTGGTTTGCAGATGATGATGAATGCACATTGGGAACAGATAACTGCCTAGACACATCCAGTAACGGTCGCTGTGTTAACGCACCAGGTTCCTTCAGCTGTCAGTGTGAGACTGGCTACTCTGGGGATGGAGTTACCTCCTGTTCAGGTGGGCAGGGCCGACACCTTTCTTATTTAGGAAGCATCCTCAATCAGGAGAATGGAGTGTGTCTTGTTCATTCATGTCCCTACCTGAATGAACCATATTTATGAGGGATGTGCAGGTAATTTTGTCAAAATGAGTGTCAAGCACACTTTTGTTTTTGGTCATTTAAGGCAGAAAAATATTCTATTTTTTTGACTTTGGTGTGTCACTTAGTTTGGCGAGCCAAAAATGAGGTAGTTTATGGTTGAAAAGGTTGACTGTCCTCACTGCTTGGCATTTTAGACGACTTGTTGGAAAGCCAGTAGGTTGACAGGGAGTTTCTGGGACTGATTTTTGAGATTTGACAAGCAGCAAAAATACCCAAAAATTGTGACAGTAAACTGACGAGGGAGAGTTCAGCTCCTGATCATGAATAGGTATGATACATACATGTAGCATTGCTGATGGTCACCAGTCATCAGCTGAAGATTATGAATGATGCCCATTCTTTCTTGTATTATACATGAAATGTGTATGGCACTATGACAGGTCGCCAAAGGGAATGCAGTCGAGACACAACCTTTGACAGTATGTTAACCCAGCATGGCTTTAATAACGTCCATCATTTGAGAGGTTGCGATAGAATGGCGTGGGAATTGTAATACTGTCCTGTGGAATTATTGCTATTGTTGCTGCCTCTCTGAGGTTTTTAGGAATAAAAAGAGAAACTAGATGACTGACTATAATTCTAGAACTGCCTGAGGAACTGTACATGAGGCAGTGCTGAATATACCAGTATATGCAGTGAAAAAGAGAATACAGTTGCAAGAAGAACTTCAGAAAGGAAAATCTCAGTCATGCATCCTGGTTTGATTCTCAATATCATTGACTCTGAATGAGTACTGTCAAATTTGAACCAGGTTCCTGTTAACGTATGCACTTGGAATGTTCCACTATCAAAACGACAATACAACTACTGTAAGTTAGCTGTGCATGTCGGCTTTGCAAGGTCACACACCCTGTAGGCAGACACAGTATACATGTACACTTGTGTGCAATGCACTGCCTGGATCATGTTTCAGTGTACCACAGGGAAAACCTTGAATAATGCGTATAAGAACTGGCAATCAGAAAACAAATGTTCTTGAGTTAATTAGCTAAAAATTGAGATAAATGAACAATTGATCTTAATTTGAATGATGAACTGATTGTCTACACAGTGCTGCATGAGTAGATGTTTTTTCCTCAAATCTCCTTCCCCCTATTTATTATCATGATACACAGATTTTGATGAGTGTTCCGGTTCCAATAGTTGTCATCCAAGCCGTGCCACCTGTGCCAACACCGTAGGCAGTTACACCTGTACTTGCAAGACGGGATTCACAGGGGACGGTTCCACGTGTGCTGGTAAGCTTCAGCATGGGCTAGAGTCGGTATCCCGCTGTATATCAGTCATTCGTCGTTTTAGGGGGAGGGACCAACTTCTGGAGAGTCGCCCTGAGCCAAATTGATACATGTTGCTCACGGGTGTATCAGAGAGATAATCGGAAAGGAAAAGATTAATGTGGTACATTTCAGGAATTTAAACACTGTCTGTTTGTTAAGAAATATCACAAGTACAGAGTTTGTTTGTTCATGTATGAAGCAAATAACCACTCAAGTAATTTTTGCATCAAAGAGATGCAGATCTGAAAATTTGACTCCCACAATTGTTGTGATTTTTGTAAAAATCTACTTCGTTTAAATACTGTGTTTTTTTATCCTTTAGACTAAATTGCCACAATGCATACAAGGTCAAAAGAAGAGCTGACAATCAAATTTACCGAAACGTTAGTAATTATCAAAATCAGTAGTTGTCTAAAATGCTGACAAAATATGAGACTGGACAGTGCTTGAAATGATTATTCTTACATATAATTTTTGGATTCTCTGTAGTTTGTGGATCTTACTTAATCCTGCATTCCAAACTTATTTAGCACATTTTGTGAGTGGCTAACCTTATGAACTGTTAACAATTTGGTCATAAGCATAATTTAATAAATTTTGTATTTAATGTTGTTTTTTATCCTGTTTCTGGCCAGATGAAAACGAGTGTTCATTGGGCAGCCATAATTGCCTGACAACTCTCGGCCAGTGTTCCAATAACATCGGCTCCTTCAGCTGTGGTTGCATCAGTGGCTACTCAGGAGATGGCCTAACCACCTGCACAGGTATGACAGGTGTATTGTACGGCCTCCCTTTGGGAGGTCTGATTTTCAAGGTTTACCAGGAAACCAGCATCATGCTTTCTCATAATGATCTGTTTCCCACTTACAGCAGTCATTAATATTCAGAATCTCATGCTAGACACACATTAATGCACCAGCACACAGTTCTCCGTGAAACTTATTGTGCTATGCTGCTGTGATTTCAAGACGATTTTCTTGTGATATAAAATGACGGGCAAAGGCATGTCAGGAAGCATACCATGTCCGTGTCCATTTTGGAATCTGTATATTTCTATTGACAATTTCATATTGGCCAGAATGTTCAGAGACTTGGAAAGTGCTTTTCCATGCACATCGGTGTAAATTGAGTGCTGACCATCAAAAATCATGTGACTGAATATTCTCTACAGCACGCTGTGAAAATTAGTCTAGAATTATCCTGCAAGGTATTCTTCGGGTGACTGGCGTACTGTGCTTTGAGTTCAAAAAGGTTGACTTGTTTCCCAGACTGAATTTATACCATGCCATCTTGGATTCCAGCACATTCTCGTCAGACTCGAAGGGATCTGGTCTGCAACAGTGTCATCCAGTTTTTTCCATACCTCATTCATGAAACATATTCATGGGTGAGAATCGAAATCCCACTGGTCTATTCATCATCACGTGTCACTAAATATTTAGCAAGAGCACATGGGAGGATCTTTGGATAAGTCAAATATGCTAATGTACTGAACTATCACCCAGAAACAGCTCAGTGGAACAGTCGAGAGGATAAAGTAGACATATGTGAGCATGGGCCTAGCTTCATACGAACAGATGAAGGCGCATTTCCATGCTGCCTTTTTTTCTTGCTCCTTCAATTCAATGGCAACTGAATGTGTCTGAGTTATGTAAAACAAATACGACATGGTTTATTTCAAGTGGACGGCCAAATTTAACCTGCTTTATATGAGAAGTTTCACCCCAGAAACCAGTTTATTAACTTCTGGTACTTCAGGGAGCTAAAATCTAAACTCTGATTATTTTATTTTTGTACACTGTTGACCTCATTTTAGATATTGAAAGTCTAATGGGGAGGGTTTTTGAACTCCCAAACAATCCAGCAGCAGGTTTAACGATGTGACCTTGGGCAAGTCACTTGCTTCCTATTTGTCTCTTTCCATGCCCTATTAAGGTATAGATGGTGGTTTTTGATTAGCCATAACAGCATCAAGCTGTATACTAACCATGGGGCTGAGATGGTTTGAGGAATGTTTATGGGCCTGGTGTGCAGGGATAATAATGATGTAGTACCTTGAACACCAAGACTGGTACCTGTCAGCATTTTATACTCATTTTGATAAATGTATCATCTGGGCATTGTCTTGTCCATTATGTATCTCTGCATTGCATTATCTGTTTACGCACATGTTTCTCCCATCCCAATCCCTGTGGTCATAGATGTGGACGAGTGCTTCACTGCCAATGACTGCAACCCACTGGCAACCTGCAACAACACCATTGGCAGCTACACTTGTACCTGCACAGCTGGTTACCAGGGCAGCGGCAAGGTTTGCACAGGTAGGAGCCTATCAGCTGCAGCTGGTTACCAGAGCAGCGGCAGGTAGGAGCCATGAGCTGCAGCTGGTTACCAGGGCAGCGACAAGGTGTGCACAGGTAAGGAGCCTATCAGCTGCACCTGACCCGCTGGTAGCCCTAATCCTCCCGGTAACCTTCAAATCCACAGGTTTTGATTTAGGAAAAGGCAGCTCAGCTACTGTTTATGGTCAGATTTGATATCCCTTGAATTTAAAATTTGTGGAGTATGCCATTTGATGTAGATTCCATAAGGTCGAGGAAGGTGTTTGAAAAAAGTAATCATCAAGTAATTCGTACTTGCAAATCTCATGTACTGGGCTGAGATATTTGACAAAACATAATACCAAGGTTTACAAGCAGCATAAAAATGGACTATGTCTTTGGGTTACTTTTAGTCTACAAAAAAACAAATCTGACTTATGGATCTTGAATAATGCATGTCTTTCCAATCTGATTCCAGATATTAATGAATGTGTAATTGGCACACACGACTGTCTGTCGTCCAATGCATTCTGTATCAATAGCGTTGGTTCCTGGGATTGTTACTGTGACGTCGGCTTTACTGGTGATGGGGTTACAAGTTGCATAGGTAAGCCGTGGAATTATTTGTCTTCTTGTGATTTTGTAAACCAAGTGTAGTTTACGTTTGTAGAGTATTGTAACTTTGTCCATGATAACGCAGGTTCACAAGCCAAAAGTTGAACTTTGAACTTTGTTCACTGAGCTATACTCATTTGCCCATGGTACCCTCAAGTTTACCTCAGGTTCCATGTTCAGGTGCAAAAACAATTGTCATGTTCGGCATTCGCAGCAGTCAGCAACTGTTGGAAGGGCCATGCAGTGATCTTTTTCTTAGATACAAATGTTGTGCAACTTTTTAGTCCTTTTAAATGTTTGAAACCATTTGGCATCTTTTTAGTCGCTTTGTTACTGACAGGTGCGCGTTTGAACCATTAAGCATTTCCCATGCTTTCTCTGAGAAATAAGGGTGGTGTTACTTTGATGTCATTCCAGATAGGCACTCTTGACTAACAAGGGATTTCCTACTCATGTTGTGCCCCCGAAATTTGCTTAATGAAGACATTTTTGAGAGAACATGTACTGGTGTACCGTTTATGAACGGAAACAACAGATCACCAAAAAAAGAAAATTTAAAACTGCAAATTTCCGTTCGTGTAAAAACCAAATATGTTCCCAATGCCCTATAAAATAGCAAAATAAATGAAAATATCAGTGGAAGGAAAGTAAAAGATAATTCTCAAGAAATTGATTTCAATGTTGGATTTTATCTGCACCAAATATGTTCCCAAAGCCCCATAAAATAGCAAAATAAATGAAAATATCAGTGGAAGGGAAATAAAAGTTAATTCCCAAGAAATCGATTTCAATGTTGGATTTTATCCGCAGGCAAACTTGAATTCTCAATTCTAATTGGTCGATCCATATTGCATGGTTCATATCAAACCCTGTGTAATGAGCTGTTCTAACTCAACGCATTGCGCTAAAAGGAAAACGCACAACTGCAAAATTTACCTTAAATTCAAAGGTGGCGCGTTTCCGTGCATAAGCCCTTATAGCATCTTTACAGCACATCAAGTTTGCTTGAAGATAAATTCGTTATCATGCTCATGGAACACGGAATAATGTAATGCGCCTGTGTCCCGTATACTTCGGCTTCGTGGTATACGCGACATAGACGCACTACATTATTCCTTGTTCCACTCACACTCCTGTGATAACTGATAGTATACACCTTTATGCACAGCAATTATTATCGTTATTATCCATGCTTTAATCTCAACAGATGATGATGAATGTGCAAATAACACCCACAGCTGTCACCCAACATTGGGTGTATGCACCAACACAGCTGGCTCCTATGTGTGCTCCTGCCAGAACGGCTATGCAGGCAACGGCCGAGCCTGCGTGGGTAAGTGTTCTGACACTCTCATGTGGCGCAGTGCACACCTAATAATTCTTGAGGTCGCCAAGAAGTTGCTGATTGTGAGAAGACATCTGCCTCACTGATGGATATGGATTGTATGAAACACTTGAAGGGGTCCAAGCAATGAATCTTCTTACATTTTTTGTGCAACTTGATACTCCATTTAGTATGCAAGCTATTTTATGTCATTTGTGGGTTATATTAATGGCAGGTTCTACAAAATATGAGCCCTTTGTTTATACTGAACATAGTGGGGGGGTTCTTATTTCCTGAAGTGAACATCAGTGAATTAATTCCCAATGTCTGATGAAATGAGGGGAGTCATGCCTGATATGTGGAACACGGATGACATTGCCCATCCTGCATTTTGATCGCAACTAAATAATTAAGGTCTTGAATGTCAGCATTATTGACGGAAATAAATAACCTGTAGAATCCAGCCACCTCATTAATGGAAGTAATAATTTCGACTGTAATGTTTGACAGATGTGTAAGTGATGACAGATGATATTTACATATTTGAAAACCATAATCACAAAATTAAAATATACGTCTCACAAATTATTGAGTCCGGCAGTCAGCAGTTGCAAATCCCATCAACAATGTCAACAATTTAAACAGTGAGTAAAATAAAAAAGATGTATAACATGGAGCTCAAGGAAATAGTGCAATAAAGGACCCCAAACCGTCATCTTTTTACAACTTGAACTATCATATTGATATCAAGTACATGCAGTACAGGTCAGAATTTTAGCCAACACTAGCTAACACGATCAGTGAACCTGACACGCTGTTCAATACACGCTTTGCGGTTTTTACCGTGCGTTGCTGGTCCAGTGCATGATATGCCTGACCCTGCACCTCATTATCTTGGCAAGGCTTGTGACTGCAGACCGCAAAGGTGATCGACAACGTGCAGTGAACCACTGCACGTGCAGAGCCGTCGCTTCAGCTTCGTGTATGCATGTACATGTACACAGTACACTGAATAAGTGAAATTACATACATGTAGCGCCGGGCTGGCAAGATGACCATCTTGAAGTGTCGAAATATGTATCACTATCAAAGCTGCTTTTTTTGTTTTGGATGGTTGGGCTGGATTAGTGGGATGATGGGACAGCCAGAGTAGGAAGTAAAGGGAATGATGGGCAGGGGGCACAGTAGGAGATGGATAGGATGATGGGGAGGGGGCAGAGTAGGAAATGGATAGGATGATGGGGTTGGATACAAAGTGCAGAGCTGTACATATACCCAGTACTTTAGAGGAATTTTAATTATGCACCATCCGTCGAACTCACAACTGCACTGCTTATATAATCATCCAGGTCAAGTCTGACTGTACTAGCTTGACCCACTCCCGATAGATATTCTTCTCTCCTGTAAAGAACTGTGAAGCCTTTGTACCTCTATCTCCCTTGTTGGTTGTCTTTGTTGATTTGCTTTTAAATGACAGGTGCCTTTCAACACAGCGTCTGCACACAGCTCTTGCTAGGTTTTTTCTCCTCGAGTACAATGAATTGTATTGCTAAGGTCGATAAAAAGCTTGCACATCTGTATTGCAGTCGTATGTCAACCAATCTTTTACAAAAATTTGATGAAGCTTTGTTAGTATTTACTTGTTTGACTTGGTAACCACATTTGTATAATTTGAATGTCTCTTTCCTGTTATTACAAGAAAGAAATTCAAATTCATAGCAAGCAGCGAGCTATGGCAGCTTTGCCGTTCTAGTTTTAGGTAGGGTTTCCAGCTGAAAGGTCAAAAACTGATGCGAAAAATCCCCACCTTACATTAAATTTATATTCACGCGATTTTGAACACACACTGAGCTCAAGTACGGCAACAAGTTTGTGAATGCTAGGATCTCTGTGGTGGAGGCCGTCTTGACTAAAATTTGGCTAGCAGACCGGTGAGGTCAACCCTGTTTATATTTTGTGGATTTCTTACAAAATAGTTTTCTCTAATTTAGCAAATGCTTTGTCACAAAAACTGCTAGTCATAATTGTCTCAGTGGGAAAATTGATTTCACACTTGGATATTTTCTGTGCCTGATTCAGATGTTTTTGGAGCCATTCAGACATAAAACCAAAAGTGTTGCCTGCATGGCACTTTTATCGATCTTGTATGGACAAATGAAACGATTTATCTTCGAAAATGATTTTGTGGTGCCTGCTACATACAAGGTAAACTACTGACAACATATCCGTGGAATTTGAAGATAACTTGAGCTGCAGTCAAACTGAATACTTTTCGTTGTGGGAAACTACATTTAGGAAGATGACTGTTCCAGTCAACAAAGGCCTGACTGTTCTGGGGTTTGCGTGTAGCGTGTGCATATTTATACACGGCAAATCGGATTGCAGTGTCGGCGTTCTCTGTTATGTGTGTTTCGTGTTTGCGGTTAACTCCTTTCATGTCTGTTTGACTCAATATACGCTAACATGCTAAGCGTGTTTGTGTGTCGGCCAAAATTCTGACCTGTACCGTATGTTTTCCTAAACCCTGCCCCCAAAAAGTGATGACGACAACCCTGGGAAGTCCAATTTTTTATGCTGACATTTGAGAAACGTTTTGCTGCCTTGTGGGCTGTTTGACCTTTGACATCAGCCCAGACAGTGCACCCTCTTTTCACTCCCTTTTCATGGACCTCTTCACAAAAGTGCAACGCACTGGGATTTTTCTCTTTGTACTGAGGAAACTCTGTCAAACTGAATGACGGTATGAAAATGGCGTTTGAGACATAGAATATGGCTTGTGATGACAATCAAGTTGTCTGGGTTTTTTCCATCATATATTCCCCAACCCTTGTCATTATTTTCCCACCAAAGGAAGTTGGGACAGTCTGATGTCATCAGTGTTTGTTTGTTCACAGAAATTGATGAGTGCCTCGGGGTGACGTGCACTGACCGTGGTACTTGCATGGATAATGTCGGCTACTACGAATGCAACTGTGACTGGAGTTTCTGGGGAACAGACTGCGAATTAGGTAAGGTTGATCACACTCGCTTGGTTTCCCTGCGGGCTGTGTGCGAACGATGAAACTCACATTACTCCTGACTACACCAAAGACAGGAGTATGACCCATAGGTAAGCAAGAGAATTGTCTCAATCAGCCCAGGAGTATACACTTGCATCATGGGGCTTATTTTAAGATGGCAGAAAGGCAGATATGTTCCAAATTAGTGAGAGTAATGCGAGTAACATTTTCCTCTCCCCCGAGTAATTAGAGTAACACACACAAATGCAGCAAACGCTTTCGAAACTGACAGTCTGTACTCCGCTATTGTGATAACTTTGGAGTGACAGTGACACTGTTCTGTCTACATTGGAGCTTATCTGTGGCGTAACAGTGATCCTTTCTCCTCTGCCCCCCCCTGAAAAGAGCCTGGCTCCCTCCCTGGAACTAGTTGCATGTGCACACTGATTGTAAAAGCATTCCTATTTTGGTCAGCAATGTGTTCAGGGGCATAACACGGACGAGGGGATTTGAAGCATGTGTCACTAAACACATATCCCCAGACGACGTTCTTCTTGGTGTCGGTGGACATCCACTGCGGACAGAGAACTCCAATTCACAGAGTTTATTTTGCTGAGAAATGTGATAGATATTCTGTGATACACTAGGCTTTCTTCGTAGCAGAAATATCCCGGCCAAAAGCAAGTTTGTGCATTGCATTGCATACTTGCACAGCATAGAGTGGAATCTTCGGCAAACTGTTCACCGTTGATGTTCACCTTGGTTTAACTCACAAGCCTGCACATCATCTGTGACGGAAAATGTGGTGGACCATTTCCTAAGCATCAAGAAAATGTCCAAAGAGAGACACCCCTTTGTTCATTTGTATTACTTGATGATCAAATTTGTTTTGGATATCTACACTACAAGACTAACTAGATTGATAGCTGTCTATGTACAGGATAACTTTCTACATTCGGTAGTTAATTATTGATGTAGTTTTCATGAAACTTGATTGATACTCTATTTGGCCGAGGTCCTCGGTAATGTGACCATGGGGTCACTGCACAATTCACTAGTATTTCATAACATTTACCACTATGCATATTTTAACTGTGTCTGGTCAGAGTCCAAGTATGCTGACTCCATGCCACAGTACCCAGGCTCCCTCTGGTGGACGTTCAACGAGTTTAACACCACCGGCGACGATAAGTACGCCAATCAGGATGTCAACGCCACAGAATTCAACGCCTACCCAGGCCTGGCCATTCAACACGACTACGGCATCTCCAACTACTCCATCCGGACCCGGCTGAATGGCACCGACGACTGCCTGAACTTTGGTGACTTTGTGGGCCACTGCATCAGCGAGCCAGCCCTGTGCACGGATGGGCTGACAGTGTCCCTGTGGATTCGGCTGACAGAGGACGAGGTGAATGAAGCGGGACCTGTCTACATACTCAGCTCAGGTGAATATCTGGATGCCTCACAGGCAAACCATTGTCCTACTGTGAAACGCTTCACTAACCCCACAAGAGCCCTTCTAACAGCTTTCTACAGTGGCAGATTCCAGTCGTCTTCCCTGAGATATTGGGTCGTCCGTTAAAATCTCTTTTGAAATTTGAAATGCAAATAAGGACATCCACGCTTTGTTCGTCTGAATTTTGGGGGGTATTTGGTGGTCTGGACTTGTTTTGCACAGTGGCAACAAGTGAGCAGAAGTTCAGGGAGGAATACACCATGAAAATGGAGAAGCTGACGTGTTTTGCAACGTATGTAACTGTGACATGATAAATATGAAACAACCTGGGTCTTATCATCTTACAACACTGAGAAGCACATTAGTTAGGGAAAAAAATAGCTCTGCTTCCAATTAAATAGGGTCGGTTGGTAAGGATTTTTTGAACATTTTTTGTTGCTGATTAAACGGGACGAAAGTTGCCAGAAATTGCCACAAAAGTGATTACAATAAAAACTTACCAGAATCAATGTGGAAATATAATCAACAATTAACTACAATTTACACTTGCACAATGCTAGTCAGGTAAATGGGTAATTCCTGAAATTAGGGGTCCATTTTTTTCATGTCCCTGTCACAACTGATTATGATTTTATATGTTCAGAACTCATTTTCTGATGAATTAATGCAAATTTTCTGCCAAACAAATAGTAATAGTTTGAAATCAATTCCAGTGATATTTTCAAGTCAAATAACAAAGGTCAGATGTAACAGGATTTATTTTAAACTTGAAAAAAAAAATTTTTCTAATTTGCTGATGAAAATTTTGGGGGTCGCGCTGAAAAATTGGGGTTGGTTGTGAAACCGGAACTGGAAGTGCAATAGGATTACACTTTTTTGTTTTGAAAAGTTGGCATCTCTGCTATCTATCAGTACTGTCAATAGCATTTAAACATGTTTTTTACCTGATAGCAAGTGTTTAGAAAAGTGATGTTAACACAGATTTTGTGATGTATGGCCAGTGCATGAGCATAAGATTGTTTTCCTTCATCAATGGAAAAATCCTTCAAGTTAGTGTTTTTCATGAGTAGAGTTGTGATTGGGTTTCCAAATCAAATTGCCAGTCTCTCCTCTCCATCTAGCCACCTGTCAGGATTTCCAGTCATCCAGTTCTCAAATCACTCAGAAGCAGACAGCTCCTAGAATCAGCTCTGTTCAGGATGCTTGCTGATATGTTAGCCTGTATGATTGATATAAGCCTGTATAAGATGACTGTATCTTTCAGGGTTATGCTAGATTTACAGACAACCCTTTTTTACCCATTTCCTAATTTCTGACCTCTGACACTCTTCTCTTCTAGGTCCTCCGGATTCCATCGGTTTCAGCATCTACCGAGACACCAGGAAGATCGGCTTTGTACTGAATGAAGGAACGACGCAGTGGACGGCGGAGGTCACTGACGCTGTACCTGCCAACTTGTGGAAGAATGTGGCATTTGCTTGGAGTGCCTCCACAGGCATGTCGGTAAGGAATCCCGGATGGCCATCATTAACCCCCCCTCCCCTTGGGCAGTTGGGGCATTAGAACAAGCAGTATTTCTTATCAGGGAGCCAACAATGTGGTTGTGTCCGCATTCTTGCTCCACCACATTTTGTAGTAAGCATCCTTCTTTCTTTAAGGCAGTGATTCTCAGACAAGAAGTGTGTTTCCATTTGATTGTCTACTACAAAACGGTTGGTGCACTCACAGCCTAGCCATGCAGTTTACTCTGGTAAAAAGTGACTGATCTCATAATATGTAGTGTGCGTTAGTCAGAGTTGTCGTTGACATTTCCAGATGAAACGCTTTTATATCTCTATCCCAGTTTTGGTCTTGTCTGTGTCACTCTCAACATCTCTCAGGTCAACATGGAAACCAGGCTTAATTGGAGTGTTTAATGGCTTTTGTTTGGACACAGCAGGTTCGTAACTTTCCTCGTCGGATTTTTATGCGACAAAAGCTTCCTTACCACAGGACGGTTTCTCTCTGTGGCTGTCTCTGTGTGCAGGTCTTTATCGATGCCGTGAGGCAGGTAGACGTGGAAGACGGGACCAACAACCCTCTGGCTCCGGTTGTCAGCTACCTCACCCTAGGTTGCCGGTACAACGGAGCCGAAAACACAGGCCACTCCTCGGGGCTGTTTGACGAACTGGCCATCTGGATGGGCAGGTTTAATGACTCTCACCAGCTGCCTTGGTTGATGGGAGGCTGGGGTAAGAACATGACAATTTATTTAAGTCAAATTTCAATTCAATGATATCTGTTTGCATTTTGCAGTTACCCAAATGAGAATTCTGTGATTACGTTATACATTGTCTTGACAAGGCAGAACTTGAGTTGGAAATGTCTTAGCATAAAAAAATTATTGTACTTGGAAAACAAGACAACACCTTCAAAACAGAAACTCTAACCACACTCATGGACGTGTCCACTTTCATCTATTATTTTTCCATTTTAAAAGTTTCATAACCTCATTTGATATTACTGGGAAAAGCTTTCCTTTTCAGGATTTTTTTCCAAGTTTTTCTTTTTTTAGGGGGGTTCCTTTCCACGATATCATGATGGCCTAATTTGTCATTGAGTAAATACTTTGAATACATTAAATGCAGAGTGGCTTTGCGGCAACATCCCGAGATGTTGGGAACTAGCAAGGATATTGTACATAGTGAAAAACAGGTCCGTTTGTTGTCACAGCATTGAACAGAAGAATTCGACCTGAGATGCATAATCTTTGAGCGAAAGTCCCCTGAGTGGTGACCAGAAGGGCTCCCTCAAAGAGTTTGCTCATTTCCTTCATGATCATTCAGTTTTTTAATCTACGTTTTTGCCAATATATTTCTGACTTGAATAGCCCGGAATTTTCACCTTTACTGTGCGTCACTGATAGCTTTACCTTGGTTGTCTAGCTATTTATGTTCACAATTTCGGCACTGTTAACCATCAATATTCCCAGTAATTTCTCAATTCAGTTCTTATCATGAAGTCTGCGTTCCATGGTTATTGCTGTTAACTGCCAGTATCCTTAACCAGACAGTTACCCTTTCGACCTGTCCTCCTTTGAAGGGAATCCCTCATCACTTCCTCAAAGTCCTATACCCTGATATCCTTCTTGCACTTGAACACTTTGTGTTTTTTTTCACCAACAGACAAAGATGACTGTGTGACAGAGCCATGTGAACACGGCCAATGCTTTGACACTGGCATAGCATCCTACAGATGTGAATGTGACCCTGGTTACAACGGTACCAACTGTGAAATCGGTATGCTGCTTAATCTGTCGTTTTCTTCATGTGTCAATTTGTAACTGGCTGTGAAATGCAGTTCTGCTCTTAGCAATAGACTCGGGCTGTTTACAATGGCTTCTTTATTGGCAGTCTCCAAACACTGGGGAAAAATGCATCTGCATGCCAGTAGAGGTTGATATCTTGTAAGATATCCCATGATAGAACTGCAAGAATTTTTTTGGGAGGGGATGTCTTTTAACATTTCCCCAGTACAATAAAGGCCCTTCTGTCGCCACTCAAAGGAAGAAAGAGAAACAGAAAGAAAAGGTGAATAAGAGAAAGTGTGCCATGTTCAATATCAAACATGCTTTTGCACCTTGCGCTTCAAAGGGGATGTTTTCTTGGATGACGACAAAGAATTTCAGAGCAGAACAGCCTGTGGAAGAACCTGGTGGAATACACCACAGAATTTCACAGATTATCATTCAAACTGAAGTGTTGTAGATGAAGAAATGACATGACATTGCAGACGTTATGCATTGATTTCAAACCTGACTTACTGAGTTGTATCATGCACTTTCATGTCGCTACATGTAATTTGTTCCCTGTAGTTCATCTGATGATGGGCTTCAAATTGACTTGAAGAATATCATGTATTTTGATACCCTTTTGTTGCCTTTATGAGGTAAATTTAGTATTTGGAACATTGTACATTGCCCTGTTTGCAGTTTTTAGCTCATTTTACCAAATCCAAATCTAACATACTGTCCGGTTGTTGCATTTGGATTTGTTGCTTGTAATTCACCTAGCCAGAGAGCTATGAATTTGCTTGTAGTGGTAGGACTTCATACAGTTTTGCAGCGTGGTATCCTTTGTTGCCTTTGTTAGAGACTGTGAAGTATTTTGTTAATTATTCTTTGCCCCACTTGGAAGTATTGTACTCAACTTAATACTAAACCTAATTCACTTTCGTTTTGATTACATAACTCATAGATGATAAATAAAAATACTGAATAATTATCAAATATTTTTGACATCCACAGTTAGTACTTGTCATGATTTTCAAACTTTTTGCCTTTTTATTCTGAATTCTTGTCTTTGCTGTCTATTTTCTCCCTAACAGAAATTGATGAGTGTGAGTCCAACCCATGCCAGCAAGGCGGGACATGTACAGATTTCATTGCCTATTACCATTGCGACTGCGTCTTTGGATATACCGGTCACAGCTGCCATCTGGGTGAGCTGCTTTTACTTGATTTGTTTTAACAGCTAAGGTGTTCCCTTCGCTTAAAAACCTAGTGACGTTTAGCACTTCATACCAAGGGCTTCTTGAGTTGGAAAAAAATGCCTGGGTGGGACTCAAACCTGCATAAAGGCACCTTCCCATTTGGACATCAACACTTGCACTAAGTGTTGCGTACAGTATTTGTCAAAATCGCTCCCGAGGCTTTTGACGGCCAAAGGCAATGAACATGTGTGTTATGTTAATGGAGTCAATTTTTTATGTCCATGAAAGTGAAACGCATTAATGCATCGTGTACGCAACGCGCCCCAAAAACGTACATACATGGATGGAAAGGTCCCTTAATGCTGGCTGGTAGAAATGTTTGTACACGGGTTTACAAAGCTAAGGTAATAAGATCCTCATTGTTAAGATAAGATTCTAAACAGCATTCTTAATTCTAAACTGAATTCATTTTAAATATTACCCTGTGGGCCCCAATAGACCTTATGCGTTAATGCGGCGTCAGAGGCCGTTCTTTGTTATTTTAGTTTAGTTACCAGAAAGTTTATTTGAGCCTACCCCATGATGACAAACACATAAGGTCTATTTGAGTGATTTATTCACATAACAAGAAAAATACAGGACAATAATTTGATGAAAATAGTGTATGGTGCGTTATTTATGTTTCTGAATAAGTTCAATTCATGAAACATTTTTATTAAATTCGGTTGCTTTCTTGTTAAGTTACTGTCCCCTGTGTTTGACATGGAACTGAACAATGGTTTACTTATGGGGTTTTGGCCAATTAATAACAAGTTACATCAGTTTACCAGCCTCCAACCCTTTATCACATGTGTTGCTGTTCTGTATCTCTCTTAAGATGACTGAAAAAATCAATCAAATCAAATCAAATCATATACCTGTATGTGCAGGAAGTCAACCGTGAAATCCAAACTTGGTCTCCTTGTGACAAGGCAAGGTGGAGCGCTGTACCATGAATTGCTCCTATTCTTTCTTCCCTTCATCTCCAAATGTAGTTTTCTAATCATCAAGTTTGAGTAATTTCAATCTCTTAAAAGTTCATTGTTCTTGGTAATACTTTTTTCAAAAAGTGTTGCATGTAGGGTAGGAGTTATGCGCTAGAAGTTTATGAACAAAATTGGTTTTCATTTTAAACTGCAGATTTGTCACCCAACTACGACTACTCCAATGTGGTGAATCTCTTTTCAAGATTTTTAGGTGAGTAATGTGATGTGCCATTATCAACATATTCATTCATTATATGAGATGTGTTCTAAGTATCTGACCTTTGACCCTATCAGCCTCCAAGCTATCTTGGTCTTTGCTGAACTACTTTCCCACCCTGAAAGTATGATTTATGTTTCTATGACAACCCACTCACATCATTCCAGTTAAAATCATGTTAATGGACTGTGAACGGGGTATAATGACACATAATCACAGTACAGCTTTGGAAAGGACACTCTCACTTCGATATTTGACTATGATTGGACAGAGATGCACTGTGTCAGGCAGAAGTCCAACTTTTGGATAAATGCCTCTTTGTTAAATGAACCAAAACTGACTGTTTTCAAAATGGATGTTCAAATGAAAGGTTGTACTGGTTTTGCACCAGGACAGATAATTAGAACATTTGAGAAATAAAATGCACCCAGTGTGCATTGCAATGAATACATAGCGATTTCTGGTATTGTGGTATTTTAAACAACACCTGAAGAAATCCCTATTATCTGATTGGTGGGTCAATGATCACATGTCATATAGCCCTCATACTCACACACACAAGGTAGACTCAGCTGTGATCAATAAACCACAAATGTGCAGGGAAGGTGCAGTCGCGACCCTTCGTAGTTGCGGCTTGGAACATGAAAACTTTGTGTCACGCATTTATGCCATACTAAGAAGGTAAAACGACGACTTGTACACAGAGGATTTATCCAGGTGCTGTATAAAAGAGTGAATGTTTCACATTTGTGTAATAGAAAGAACGATTTCATTTTGTGACAGACTGAATTTTCCATACGGCTTCACCTCATGGAATAAAGCATTCAATCTGTCAGTCAAGTTGTGACATTATTCATACCTTCGCATTCATAAGTATTGATTGTTTGTATAAAGTATCATATAGTGATTACTATAACTTTTAACTATGAAGAGTGGGCTAACTCTATGAAGTCACAGAGAGCAGAACACAAATTCCACATCCTTCACACGTTCTAAAATTTTCTTTTATATCAACAGTCATAGATGAAATCCTTGGCCTTGAGGCAGTTCAGGTCCATCCATTCCACCTTCTAGCTACCAACTATTGGCCCCTGAATGACCCCTCCTCCATCCAGATAGCTGGCAGCAACTACTCAGCCGTCCTGGGCCGGGATGGCACAGGCCTGTACCCCCTCCTGGGATCCAGTAACTCACGGATCCAGCTGGCCAATCTGACTGGTCACTGCCTGAGCGAGCCCCAGTACTGCACGGACGGCCTCTCGCTGGCCGTGTGGGTGAAGTTGTACACGATGAGCGCAGGGGAAGATGGGATCATACTGAGCACAGCATCGATTGAGAGTAATGGACGGGTGGGCGTGTCCATCGTTCTGAAGGCAAACGATGACTTGGAGTTCAGAGGTGAGTCAATCTAAATTCTGAATAGGTTGACGGAGGGCATTGCCCTTGATGTTGGCCTGAAATAATCGGTTCCTTTCCGTTGTTTGAGTCTACCGAAACTTGAGTCTGAAGTGGCTGAAGAAAGTTTCATGTTACACGTTTTCAGACAGTAAGCAAGCAGTCTTTCACCATCTAATGTTTATGTGTATTAGGATGCCAAAGGCAAGGGTACATTTTGGAACGAAGAGCTTCAAATGCTTTGCCTCACTTCGTGGGATCCAGTCACAAATTATAGCAACTATCAATGCCTATGTGGTACATCATATTCTGTGAGGAGCTAGCTGTGTTGCAAGGTTTCACTGATTCACTTTGGTTTTCTGGCAACTCTGCAAATTTTAAGTAGTTCATTCTTGAATGACATTTGTTTTAAGTTGCTGATGGGGTAAACAGAGCCTGGGTCCTCCTGATCAGCTCAGCCGATGTTGTCTTCAACAGCTGGTGTCAACTGGCCATTACCTGGCACCCGGACATCGGCCTCACAGCTTACATGAACGGGATCAAGGTTACCAACGCACAACGAAGCAGGGAACCAGCGGGAGACACTAACCTGAGCAACCTGTTGATGATTGGGTCACGTTACGTCAATGTGACCTCGACAGCATATCCCATGAGCGTGAGTGATGTCGTGTTTTGGGACCGTCACCTCCGAGACTGGGAATCCAACCGTTTCCTGGGTTTTACACGTAAGTTGACACCTTGCCATAGTAGCAGTCTAGATTAGTGTGTTCTAGTTGAAGTGCCATTCTCATATTGAAATGAAATCCCATTCTTATAGTAACATGAAGTCTCATTCTCATAAGTTGAAGTCCTACCATTAGAAACAAATCCAAATAGAGATTCCCATAGTAAGGTGGAGTCCCACTATAAAATGACTGTTCTAGGGCTTGGCATTTCACGTCATTTTCTCAGACACAATCAAATTGAAGTTAGCACACGATTTCATGGGAACACTAAGGTCAATCTGATTTTAGTGCCTGGCCCTTGATAGTCTTCACTATAAACCATGAATCAACAATTACTGTCAACATAATCATGGGAAACCAGAACCTTTGTGGCACCCTCATTGAAAATTTGACGTTTCTAAAGTGTGGTATGTCTTATTTTCTTCTTACTATTCGTGTGTACTGACCACAAGAAAAAAAATTTCATGTCTTTATTTTGCTACTTGCTTCCCTGAGATTAATGTGAGATGTACCTTTAAATTAAAGTATGATCTTCACCTTAAACCTCCTGAATTAAACTGAAAGAAAAAAATCACTTAATTACGCTTAACCTGCTGGTGTTATGTTGAATCCGGCAGAGTCTTAAAGCACATTTGTAGCCAGAAAATTTGAAACCAAGCAGATTTCCCCAATGGAACAAATCAGTTTGAAAGGGCAGACCTTTTGCTGTGTTCTGCCATGCTTGTTTCTTGTTTTGTCCATTTCATCGGTATTTGAATATGAGTATAAAACAAAGACCGTTGAGTAGGGTAAGTGTCAATTTAGGGACTTGAGTCTCTAATTTCTCCCCTTGTATGACAGACAAGGTAAGATGTAAGACAGGTGTGAAGACCATGAAGATTTTACAGTGAATCACATTGCCCACTTCTATGCTTCTTTTGAACACTTCTCTTTGTGCAGGCCGGGAACAGGAGATTGCTAGCTTTGCTGACTATTACTGGGGTGTTGACGGCTATGCGCGACGAGACGAGTCCATCCTTTCCCGTTACCAGGAGCCCTACGTCAGTCAGTTCAAGGAGTTGACCAAAGCAGGGGAGGGAGACGTGGTGTTAGCCCCTAGTTGGGATTCCAAGGGGAACTCTCTCCTTGTGTACGGGGATGGCAGTGGCTGGCTGCTGCTAGGTAAGGCTACCACAGACTAATGCAAGATGGAGGTGATTTCCTGACTTTTTGGGCAGTGACGTATGCCTCACTTTCCCTTGTGAGTTGGGCAACAGTAACATGGTTCCTTAGTGTGAATTTGTGTAACAAATTTTGGTGAAACTCACACCTTCAGTTTTAATAGCTAGCTAATTTTAATTGATATTAGGTCCACCACTTCATGCAACGTCATTTTCCAAATGAGAATCGTTCTATGAATTATTAGTAGAAATATTTACTACTTACTGTTTTTATCCGTACTCTCTGGGCATTTATGCATGAATGTATCCTGGATCCTGCAAAATCTTTAAACTTCATTCCTATCCAAGTTGAATACAGAGTGAATCCTCCAAAATCCTGCATAATTTCTTGACAGTTCTTTTGAGTTGTGCCTACTGCCTCAATCCTTCAAAATCCTCACAGCAATTCTTGTCATTATGTTGAGGTGGTGCAAATGGTATCTTGGAGCGATGGGGATGATTTTGCACATAATCTAAGCCTGACGTTATGCATGGCCGAGTATAAACAACAAACGTTCCAGCCCAAGACCTTTACATAGGGCATCTTTCAACATCAGACAAAGTCTTCAAAATCCCTTCAAACCACTTACCAAGGATTTTGAAGGATTTGAGAAGGCACTTGCATCCAATGTTTATAGTGAAACTTTGTGACAGTATTATTTTGGTTTTGTACAGCCCACAGGCCAACCATAGTTAATATGGTTGGCAGACCAGCAATTGTTACGTAGCAACAGAAAGTTCTGCATTGTTGCAACAGAAACAACATTTTTTCTCTCTACGGCAGACGACTTTGCCGGGCAGTGCCTCAGTGATGTTAGCCTCTGCAAGGACGGCCTGTCTGTGTCCCTGTGGGTGCAACTGGTCCAAGTCCAGGACAACGACACCCACTTCCTAATCTCCTCAGGGGAGCAGGTCACGCGGGGCTTCTCTATCTATCAGCGGGATGTGGACAGGCTAGGGGCTGCGGTGACAGATGGCAGGGTGAGATGGGTGGTGGAGATAGAACACACCCCCTACATGAAAGACGAAGGTGAGCTACCAATAACTCCTGTGACCCCCTAAATTGACCGTTTGGGCTTTTTTTACACCTTTTTTGACCTGATTGGTAGGTTGTCCATCACTTGTCATTGACTTATTTGATATATAACACCCCGTTAATTAGACAGTTGAATTACCCATGAATGCAATAGTCATAGACGTGGCTCTTCACACAGGCAAGGAATGCTTCACCACATGCACACATGGGGAAAGTGCCGTTACAATGCTTCTCACAAACAGACAAAATTTCAGTCAAGATTTCAAACTTGGCACACTCCCAAGTTCAGTCTAAAGTACAGGGTTCAAGCATGTTGTAGTAGTTTGGAAATGTGCTAAGTGAATTTGCAACAAATTTCGTTCTCAAGCAGAAGTACATTTTTCTTGTGTATAGATTAAATTAATCTGTCAAATTAAGCAGAATTACTTAATCTGTTATTAATTAAGCTGAATCTGTGGGAGAAATCTAAACAACGCTTATGCATCTTGGAATTTCTGTGGCCCTCAATGAATAACATAATCTCGGTTTCTTTTTTGATGCAAGTACCACCTGTTTTTCTTCCATAGCCACCGTGTACAATGTTCACTCCAACACCAACTACACGGAATTCACCAGCCCCTGGATTAACCTGGGCATCACCTGGACCAAGAAAGGCGGCCTGGCCATGTTCAAGGATGGCCGTCTGGTTGCCATCGATCCCACCGGTTACCGCAAATACAGGAACTCGGACGGCGAGACCCTGCTCATCCTGGGCCGGCGCAACGACTTCCTGGACAACGCCGCCAACTTCACATTTGAGGAGGTTGCGATTGTGGAGAGGCCAATGGAGACGTTTGAGTATCGGACCGGCCTGGCTATGATTGGTAGGTACCAGTGTAACATTACCAGTGTTTGGGGCTGTGAAACGACCAGTGCTGTGCTAAGTCGGTGAAACAGCAGTAACACATTAGGATTGCCGTTGGTTCATACTTGGCCAAGGCGACAATGGATGCAGATATGTGCTGTCCAATCAAACATTTGCACTGTGAATTGCAAAAGTTGAACACTTTCGACTCTAGCCAGTATTGCTGTAAATGTCTTGTGATGTCAAATTTGAAGAGTGCATTTTTTTTTCAAATATTTAAAATCATTCACACTTTTCCGGATGGTTGAGAGTCTTTTCACTTTGATGTCAGTTAGTGAAGCCATTGCTCACTTTTCATGTTTGTCTATTAAATTGGTGAAATTACAATTTGCTTTTTGAAAATATTTCTGCAAAAAGGCGAGCAGAGTATTAAAATTCCGGCATTTTTGAGCGCACAAGTCAACTGAACGTTGAAGTTCTTCCTGAGATGAATCACGGTTTTGCTTACTAATATGGGAATAGTCAGAAACCAATAGGCAGCCCAATAGCCTTGAAAACAGTGAAACAAACATGAAAACAAGGTGAATGTAGACAGAGAGAGGCATTTTGAAGGGTTGAAGTGTTGCATAGAACATCTCATGAAATGGGATTCTCCCACTGGGTTATTGTGTGGCTTGTATGTTGTAGTTTGCAATTCCTAGAAATCTTAGAACTCCTCATTGAGATAAATTCTCAGGGACTTAGCCCCATTCTGAGTAGATACCTATTACATAAGTTTCCACTTCCATTGACAAGCTTTGTATTTTGGATTTTCCTGCCCTCTCAGAAAATATACATTACTCTGATGTGCAGTACTTCTGGAATCCCAGTGATTTGGTGGCCAATACCTTCAAAGTTCTGTGGGAACATACCTACAATGACACCACTGAGCCAATCAGAGCTTCGCGTGCTGTCACCATGCCTGATGCCAATACAGTGCGTCTCACAGACGATGATGCATACATCATACTGGGTATGTCGGCATATTACTTTTCATCTCAGCTATCTAGCTAAATACCTCAAATCCAACACCCGGTTTTGCATGGTGTTTCTTTTCAAAGCCCAGACAGTTTTCAAGTTATTGTGGTTTTTTTGAAAAATTAATCCACAAAGAAAGGTTATTTAGTTGAGGATGTCTCTGTAAAGTGTGCCTTTTAACCTGAATCGGGCTGCTGCTTATTGAATAAGGATGGGTTTTAGAGGAGAAGGTTTTTGACTAAACTTCCAAGACAGTTGAGGGTGAAGCCTTATGCAGAATGTTGATTTTACCGACAAAATAAATTTGCCCGGTAGAAGAATTGAAAAGCACATTTTCACCAGCAGCAGATAGCAACAATGATGCTGTTACTGCACATTATGAAAGTTGTTTTAAGTGTATGTCACCTTTCAATTCCCACCTGTAAAGTTTGAATACTTGTCTGCCAACTATCAGTAGGTACCCAACCTCCTGCTTTGAAGAACTCTTGATGTGGTGTGTTTCTCGCTTATACTGTGCACGAACACATTCACACAGAACTTTTTGATTCATAAAACAAGCATAGACACTGGGATTCATTCTTGACTTTTTGTCCCTGATGATTTTATTTAGGTGACTTCCGAGACAACTTTGTCAGTGACCCCACACTGAGCCCCAGAGGAATGAGCGTTGCATTGTGGGTCAAGCTGTCCATTGACACAGCAGCTAACACAATCCGAAAATACATCATCAGGTATTGGCCCACCTCTGTCTTGAATACTGTGTTGTCATTGGCCCAGAATGATCATGTGACAAGGTGACATAACCACATGTCACGCTCACCGTTGGACGTCACAACAGCCAACATTGTATGATATCATGCCCACGCAGGCACGCACTTGTCCCTATGTCATGTACAGCATAATATAAAGACCGCTAACTGCTAATGTTCACAGATTCCTTTGTTGCCCTATGTTTCTTCAACAAATAAGTGAAACACATCAAGAGAGAGATATTGGGTATGATTATCTGGAAACTGGCTTATATGACAATGTATGCCTCAGGGTTTCAAATTATCAACAATTGTTAATTGGAACACAGGTGCCTGAGGTATCAAATACATTGTATGCTAGCATCTCTTTACCCCTTTTCATTGCCATGTGGAGACACAAGCAAAACCACACTTTTTTTCAGCTAGTTTTCCATTAATAGTGACGAACATCCGTCATTGTCACATACCCATCAGGAATAATGCTGAGAATTGAGTCAATAAAAAATGGAATAAAAATTTAAATAATTACATCATATTTTCATTATCATACATGTAATTATCAAAACTGTTCTGATATAAGTGGCTGTTTAGATGATCACACCCAGTGTAATAGGAAATTCACAATAGCCAGTCTTCTAGTAAGTTCAGTGGTTGAGACCGTAAGACAATGAGCCCAACTTGGCCAGTGCAAGGGGGTTTTGGGGTCAAACATGACTGAAAGTAATAAGACATTTTTAGAATTAAGGGAAGTGTTAATGTTTTGTTTTGCTCTGCAAACAGTTCTGGATCCCAAGCCATGTCCACTGGCATCGCCGTCTACACCATCGCCGACGAACTGACCTTTCTCATCAGCACCAATGAAACCACATGGGAGACAAAGTACTCCACCGGTGTAAGTGATTGTGTTTAGCCTTCTGACATGTGCTGGGGGGCAGTCAAATGTGGGATGCATTCAGGGCTGCCAGTGTCAAGGAAAAACACGGCGAAAATTTTGTCGGGAAAGCCAAGCGGACTGTTGAAAATTTCATTCTGGGAAAAGTTTTATGACGTTTTTCCAGGACCATATGGTAAAGTACATTTATAGCTTTTCCCCTTAGATACTACAAAGTCTTACTTTGCTTCTCTTAAGCCCTAGAAAATAAGGCATGTTGTTTTGCAAAAGTCGTATTTGTCAGGGAATACAAGTTGGATTGCTGGTACCCTGCTGATCCTACATGTACATTTGTGATTCACTTCCTGCTGGTTTTTTCCCAGAATTTGATTTCTCATGTATGTTTCCTTCCTGCTTCAAAAAAAAAAGAAAATTTTCCTGAGCCTTTGTTCATGTATTATCTTTTTTTAACATTCCTTCCTGAATTTGCTTCAGTCAAGTCATGTTTTGGTGTGTAGTGTTGGTCAGGTGCTTTGCTCAGGCATAAAAACTTCCTCTTGCATCCCCCATTCCAGCATCTGTTTCATTTAGTGATAGATGACATGTTGTGGAGTTTAGACCTCTTATTTTTATCCTAACTGTTCAGACATGCAGTATTAGGCATAGTAACATGGCCACGATTGTACCCATAATTACACCTATAACAATAGAAAGCTGCACTGTTTAACTTCTGTGATACAATGGAACATATGTTTCATTTCTTATTCCACACGGTGGAGAGTCTCATTACGTACACCATATTTGGCATATTTTTAAGCAGAGAAAATAACATTTTGTTCAGGAACACTGGGTAAGATTTTTTTTTCTGATTTGAGGTCAAGGTCGCAGAGTTGATATCTTTCACCATTAAATGGACAGGTCATACCACAGGACACCTGGACCAATCTAGCCTTCACCTGGCACCACCTTGAACCCTTCATCCTTTACATTGATGGCCGCCGTGTCTCTCCAACATCGTCAGTGTCCACATCAGCAAATATCAACCAGACCTGTCCCTTGCTAGCCCTGGGAAGGAGGAATGACATTGAGGACGGCTTTGGCAATTTCAAAATCCACTCTCTGATTATCTGGGACAAGTACATCTACAAGAAGAACGTCCACAAACTCCTGGGTGTATCTGGTGAGTGGGCACATCTTGTGATTGTTAAACATTGCAATCAGGTGTTGGAAGACATGGAGTTGTTCTTTCCTTGTAGAGGCTTCGTACTGTTAATAATCAGGGCATGAAGTTAAGCAGCAGCAAGTGGCTAAATAGTTCCAATATGCTTCTCTTCTTTGTTGTTTTCTTCATTGATGCACATTCAACATGCCCATAGGGGAGTTTGGTAGATTTTGGAAACAAAATGGCTTCTAATCAGAAGATGTCACAGCTGTCTTTGCACTGTCATGGATTGGCTTGTCCATTATTTTCCTTGATTGATTACTTCTCCATTTCTCTCCCATTCAGATACTGAAATGTACTACCTCCACCAGGCTGACTACTACTGGTCCCTGGATCCACCTTTGACCCTGGTCAGCTCCCTGTCTGCCACCTCCTCGTCCGGCACTGCCTATGTGGATGACCGTCACCGCTTCGCTCGCAGCCTCTACACAGACGGCCAGAAGGGCTGGGCCAGGCTAGGTGACCTGAGCAGTGATTGTCTGGCTGACCCGTCCACCTGCGCCAATGGCTTTGCCCTAGCCCTGTGGATGAAGTTCAGCGACATTCCCGCACGTCGAGAGCGCTGCTTGTTCACCAGTGGTGCTGATCTGCCAAGTGAGTTACGGAACAACTGAGAAGTGGGAATGCTCCTGTCACTTGACTGCTCACTTACAGCCAAACTGTGGGAATTTGCTGTGCTTCCAAATGGGAACAGGTTGTTCCCGAGTTCGTGTATATCTTGCAAAGGCATTGATCACTCTTCCCACTTCCCACTGGGAAGAGTGGTCAAATGTTTTTGATTAGAATAAGCAATGTTCTCATCAGAACACCCTCCAACTTCAGAGATACTCCCTAAGTGATGGGCCTTTGAAAAGTAGAGTTGGATCAAATAAACATTTGTTTTCTTGCACTTAACTCTAAAAAGTGTTATAATTTCAGTGTGTGTCTACCAGAAATTTCATTGATGAGATGCTCTCTTCAAGTTAAGTTGAGGTTGAGTTAAGTTGCCGTTTTGTTTAGGGAATTACAATTGCTAGGAGTACATTTGTGTTTATGTTGTTGAAAATTGTTGGTAACCTTGATGTTGATAAATTCATTGAAATATCTCAAGAGAGTTTTTAAAGAGAATCAGCACTTTCTCAGGGAATATTACAGAAGAATTGAAATGCACGTGATAGTGGCATTTATGTGGTGAATTTCAAAAACTTCTTGTAAGATCGGTGAGTAATACATTGTCGGACACAGTTTGCAGCAGCAGGGTCAAGCCGTGACCTAAGCATTATGGGCAAAGTGTTTCATTGACAAGGGGGCAGGAACTTAGGAAGCCAGACTTTTTTTTGGATACTGTCAGACTTACTCGTAAAGAAACTAGCAAGTGGGCATCATCACATTGAAATAAAGTCCAACATCAGGTGTCCTATTAAACTTAGGAGCGTGTTCTTTCACACAATTGAATGTGCGGTTCTTTATTTTTTCCCTCTAGATGAGAAGGGCATTGTTTTTCGCCAGACCCCAGACGATCTTCAATTCCAGGTCAGCGATGGCAGTAACAGCTGGTACCTGACTCTCTCTGAGGACCTTTACACATTCAACGAGTGGCAGTATGTTGCCATGGTTTGGTCACCGGCCACAGGCCTGGCCATCCATGTCAATGGCAAGAACATTGCATCAAAGGTTAGGCATAACATGGCTTGTCTTGTCTCTCATGTCAGTGCACTGTTGCACACACCTGTGCTCAAGTTCATTAAGATATACTTGGATATTCTACAATTTGAAGTTCTCGCGTTGATACCCATGGAAGGGATATTGTCTGTACTTCTCATGAGAAAAATCAAGTCACTCTTATTTTGTCACGCCAGTGTAAAATTTAGTTGGATACATGTCCTAATCAGGAATATGATCTTTAAATAAACTTGCAGCATTGGTACTGTTGGCATATCAGGGATTTTGGCCTCTGACTTGTCACCAGAATGAAGACGTTAACATAGTGGCAAATATTGCATTGTATGGCAGGATAGATTGATTGTAAGCACATCAGAAATGTTTCTTTAAAGGTCACAGGTTTAGCTTGCCCGTCTGGTCAATTTCTTTGCTTGATTTTAAAGTCTTGCTTTTAAGGCTTAAAAATCACCCCAGACACTGCTAACTGAGCAGGATTTATCAGTTACCTAAAATGATATCAGCAAATTTTCATTTGTCCTGCTTTGCAGACCGAACCCACCGGGGACAGACGCTCATCTGCTAGCTACTCAGACTTCACCCTCGGCAAATGTGCTGACAACACAAACTATGCCCAGGCGCAGTACGATGACATCATCCTGATGCTGCCCTCTGTAGGACAGTCTTTGCCAACTGCCGAACAACTACATGGGGATCCCAGTGAGTTGTGTGTCCCCTTCGGCCCATGTCCCTCAACAAAAGTCCATGAACATTAAACCATGCTAATCCTTCATTATTTTTCACATTTAAGTGTGATAATTGATTGGACAATGTAATTGATGTGGATTTCCAATGGTAAAAACATTTATGTTATTGAGATGCATTCACAGCAGCTATGGGAAATTTATTGTGTGAAGTGACTGCTAGTTTCATCCAGATGTTTAAAGAGGAAAGCAAGATGCGATATGAAATATAGATTTATTCCATCTAGCAAATGCTATCATTCTGAAAGTTTCATCTTTGACATTATGTGCTCCCCAGACCATGATTGGTCCCATTTACCCTGTGACAGATTTGACTGAAATAGGCATGCATTAAGATATGCATGTTTTTACATCTGCATAGTATCAGCCATGTTGGACAAAAAACTTTCTCATTATTAAGTTCACGTTACTGATTCTGAAGGAAACTTTCTCTAATAGTCTGTGCATAGTCTTTGCTGAAAATATAGATTTTACAGTGTGCTTGAAATGTGACAGTTCAGGAGCAAGGTATTAACGCAGCGAACGTCGTGAAGGCTTGACACTTAAATAAATTGTGACAATGATATCAGGGGAAGTGGAGGGGTAGGCCAATTGTCCTGTCTTGTCAACCCTAACTAAGCACTAAGCTGGGTTATTTTGGACTCTCTCATGCTGGAATCTGCCCCCCCTGAACTCTGTTACCCCGTACTCTGTTACCCCATGCCCAATTTTTTTTCAAACGTGGCATGCATGGCAAGGCACTACATCTCAGTACAAAGGTGAAGTTTGAACTCAATTGAGGTGTGGTTTTGTTGTGGCCATTTGAAGTTCAAGGCCACTTGTGTGCCAGCGCATCTGCATTTAGCACAGCAGTGGAAAAGTGTACATTTCTGCCATTGGTTCGATTTTCACAAAAGCGGTGTCAAAATGACCTTTATGATTTACTAAAGGAATTTCTAAAGGCTTGGGTCATGAGGGGGAAAAAACACTGCTTTGATATATTGGATCAAAAGTGAAGGGAGGCGGATTCCGGAGGGGACAGAAACTGACATCTAATGTAAAAGCAGTCTCTCAAATATTCACTTGGGAACTCTCTTTCCCCAAAGTGCCGCAGAATGTTGCAGTGTGCTTTCTGTTCCCATGTTGCAGTATGCCATGGCTTCCTATCTTCAGACCTGTATTTCAACCTAACATCTACCTCGAGCGGGGTAGTCACAACCAACACTCAGCCCTCAGTCCGTGGGGAAGGGGATGGGAGTACCAGGGCCATCTCCACCCATCCAGGCAATGGTTATGTAGACATTGGTAAGTTGCTCCCGTTACATTTCAACATCACATCTCCAGTAATGTTCTTGCCACCTGTAATTTGCCAGTTTTCCCCTATTTAGTTATTTATTGATTCTATTTATAAATGTAAGCATGCTATGTTTTTATAATTTGATCAAGTTAATTATAAATCTTTGTCTCAGCATTATTTTTTTCCTTTTTTCCTTAGCCATTCCTCTCTCTGGTAATGTTGTCGTAATTTTTCCCTCATTCTACTTCCTTCTGAAGATTTTCTCAGTTATTGCCTCTCCCATCGCAAACCCTGATCAGAACTGTGGTTGAAATGCCATAGTTGTTTATCTAGGTAACATTTCCAAGGTTTATACAGCTTGAATCCTTGCCAGCCATGCTAAAATGCAAAAAGATGCAACAGGCACGGAAGCATGGGCAGTCAATGGCAGCATAACTGCCAACTCTTAGGCAAAAGGAGATAGCTACATCATGAAAGCAATGTCACTATTGGACCTTGTGTTGATGGGGGCCTCAGAGCTCTTTGACCTTGGGACAGATGACCTGTTGGATCTGACTACAGTACTTTGACTTCTTCCGTTGTTAGTTTGTGAAAGTTCGTACCGGTCAGGGTTAGGGTTCCACAATGCCTCAATTAAAGTTGTCATCAAGAACTGATAAACTGAGGTAGTTAAGGTTTTGTGCTTAATTGCAGGTGACTTTAGCGGTCATTGCTTGAGCAGTCCATCCATGTGTTCATCAGGTGTGACACTCTCTGTCATGGTCAAGCTGATTGACATGGATAACCTCTTGGACTCTACCACCAACCCAGACGGAGTTGGCTACATCCTCAGGTAAATTACAGTAATAAAACAAAAACAACATGCATTCCTGGAGGACTTATTCAGTATGTTATCTGTTTAAGTGCACTGCACAATACAGAAAAACTGACCTGCTGGGCTGAAGGCATATGAAGGCACCCTAAGCAGCCCCAAACAGCCCATACCTGACCATGGAGCATAGCCAGAGATTAGTAGTGTTGATTTTGTAGAAGGAGGAAAACTGGAGAACCCGTAGAAAAACCCTCATGTCCACAGAGCAAACTCTAGGGAGAGGCAATTGCAAGTGCTTCACGCACTTGCCACCTGTTCCACCCGTCACATGGCAAACACCAAAAGTAACTTGAAGATGTGAGGAATGGACCCAGAGAGTCCAGGAAAGAGGCAGCAAAGGAACCTCTCTCGGTGAATAATACTTTTGCGTCGACGTTAGTGGTGACGCTGTCCTTTGAAACACTGAAACAATCTGGCAGTTTGGAAGAATGGAGCTTGTTTTCAGAGACTCACAGCATAAGGTGTGCCGCTCTGTGGGTAGTGCATCTGGACATTGCTTAGATTGCAGGTTCAACTTCCAGTCCAGCCAGTTCCTTACTTCATTGTTATCATCTTTGTATAGATTTCTCTCATTTTGCCTACAGTTTGTATGGGTGGCCAAGTTTGCCTAAAAATCACCCTTCGGTTGTTTTTCAATTTTACTTCAAATATGTCTAGAGTGTACATTTGTCCCCATTAATTTTTAGAGAGGCTTGTAGTTTTATTTAGTATTTAGTAGTACAGTATTATTTTGCTGTGTTTTGATAGCTACGTGGGATTTTGTAATGCTGTGTAAATTATTCTTTTAGTTTTGTACCGACAGCTGAGAGTTTTAGCAGCCACTTGTAGGAAAAACACGACTGTGAGGTCAAAAGAGCAGACCCAGTAGTTGAGAGAACTATGAGAATAAAATGAGTCAGATTACAAGCATCATCTAGCAACTCTATGCCTGTCTTTGGAAGCAACCCTGCACTCTCTATCGTTTGTCACTTTTAATCAACTAGGCAGCCTGAGGATTTAAACCCCTGACCCTGTGTTCAGAAGTTATTAATAATCACTACGCCTCCGTGCTTCTCAGTGTTGTGGGATTGATTTCTTGTTTCTTTCAGCTCGGGTGCCCAAACTGATCTCTCCACGGGCTTTGCCATCTACGCTGACAACACAACCATCACCTTTGAGGCCGATGATGGCCTCCAGCAGTGGCGGTCTCAGGTGGACTACAGCCTGTCTGAGAACTGGACCAGCATTGCCATGTCTTGGGACTCTGTGTATGGTATCACGACATTCATCGATGGAGAGTCCCAGATGGAAATAGGTTGGCTCTCTTTCTGCTGCGTCTTTACATCAAGCTTGTGTACAATTTTCTTTTTTACAAAGTAATTGTCTGTACTCGCCTGAAAACTGTAAACTTATCCATCCAACATATCAATCATTACTCAGTATAGAATGGTAGAATTCTATGTCTCAGGGATTTTTATATTTGTTGTGACGTGCCTTAATGAGATTCATGTTAAAGAGAAACTTACTGATTTAGCCCAGTCCTCACAGATTAGGCATGGTTTTTGAGTATGATGGAAGATTAGAAGGACCGGGGAACCTGCGTTGCAAATATGAGTCAGTAGGCTGGACCTGCATGCGTATTATATACAGTGAACGCACTACTAACTGTGTACCAGGGGAGACTGGGAGACTTTCCAAAGGACTAGGAACATGTAGAATATCAAGAGGCTTCTTTTTAATACCCTCATTTACAGTCTTTTGTAGCTGGCCATGTCGAGTATATATCAAAAATTGGGACAGGTGTCACCATTATTTTGAACATGACAGCAACTGCTTTTTTTGTCTACCCTGAATGAGGGAAACCTACGGTGTTTAACAGCATTCGTTTTACCTTTTAGTAGCTGCACCGCCTACTGTGGTTGTCCCTGTAAGTTCCAATGACACCGCCAACACCACTGGCCCCACCCCTAGTGTGGCCCCGCCCACTCCCCGGCCCGATTCCCACACCAGCCTCCATCTGGGCAAAAGGAATGATGAGGGCACAGGCTACCTGCGGGCTGAGTTTGCTGACTTGGCCGTGTGGTTCTATCGTATGGACGCTGAGGATCCCAATGTTGGTCGAAGGGTCACGGGTCGGGAATGCCCAGAGATAGGTCAGCGAGTATTAGTGTTGGGTATTGTTCGCACTGAGTGCTGAGCATCTTTTGTAGAAAAGAGTCACAGATATTGCTGATCGAGTCCCTCACGAGTCCTTACAATTCCTCATCAGTAACCTTACTAGTTTGTAACAAGTCATCTGGTCTCTTGTCTAGTCGCAAACTATCAAGAAAGAACAGAAGTGTTTCCTTATTTCCCACGTTCACTGAGTTATTTGTGACCAAACTTGAAAATGACTTTTGAGTCTGATACTGGACTACGACTCTACTCATGTTTCAGCTTTCCGTTAATAGGAATACAACTATTTCAATTCTTCCGTGCGGTACATGTACATTCATTGCAGAACAGTATGATATTGAATCAGTGAACTTACTGGCAATGACAGTAGGTACAGAGACTAGTAGATAGTGAGGTAATAAATGAATGGAGATTTAAGAAGATGTTTAATAGCTGAAGAGTGAAGCTCAATGTTGTACCCATTCTGTTGACTTCAGTTGAAATATAAAGTTTAGAAATTTCTATATTTTCATTTGATGTTTTTTCTTTTCCTTTTTTTTCAAAATCTGCAAAAACACAACAGATTCAAGCATAAATTTGTAGTAAAAACGGTCTTTTTTATTCATCATGCTTGCCTTTGATGACAGTTTTTTCTTACGTTGATCAGTTGTGACAACCAATCATGCTGAGCTGGATAGATACTCAGTGTGGACAGGAACCATTGAATGCGATGCTACTCACAAAGTGGACTGTATCAATGACTTAGATGAGCTGTTTGAAGTGGTAGGTCATTATCTCAGAGATCACCCATGCCCACACTCAATTTCTCTTTAATGAGCTGTCTGAAGTGGTAGGGCATTATCTCACAGATCACCCATGCCCACACTCAATTTCTCTTTAATGAGCTGTTTGAAGTGGTAGGTCATTATCTCACAGATCACCCATGCCCACACTCAATTTCTCTTTAATGAGCTGTTTGAAGTGGTTGGGCATTATCTCACAGATCACCCATGCCCTCACTCAATTTCTCTTTAATGAGCTGTCTGAAGTGGTAGGGCATTATCTCACAGATCACCCATGCCCACACTCAATTTCTCTTTAATGAGCTGTCTGAAGTGGTAGGTCATTATCTCACAGATCACCCATGCCCACACTCAATTTCTCTTTAATGAACCGTCTGAAGTGGTAGGGCATTCTCATCCAGATCACCATTCCCCACTCTCAACTTCCACCCAACCTCACCAAAGCCGTTCTTATCTACCTATTTGGCCATTTCACTGAACTCAGTCTAGTCGTAAAGTTCTTCCTGTTTCTCCTGTTTTCAATACAGCATAATTCACCCATTATTATGATGATTATTATTATACCATACTTATATAGCGCTCTAATCCAAAAAGGCTCAAGGCGCTTTACAATATAACACAATAAAAGTAACACCTATATTAACATGTTAAGAGTACAATTACAATGATACAGGCAAAACTGTGGTGCCAAAAACAACACTTTCCATAATTTCACCTTATCTGTCTCATACTGTTAGTCTGACAGAGCTGTGCAAAGCTTCTATAATTTGTCTTGTTTGTGTTTCAGACAGTTGGAAAAGATAAGTTTCACAAGGTTACATCTCAAGAACCACAAGTTTTCCAAATGTCCAAGACACACTGAAAAAATGGTTTCATCAATGTTTCTTTGACAACGTCACTTGTTATGACTTATGCTACAATGTCACTTGGTAGGTGACATGTGCGATCTACAGGTGCCTCTTACTCTAACTTCTTACTTGAACCTGTGCAGATTTACCAGGAGGACGGAATCAGTGACTACCTGTATGCTAGGGTCATCCAGCTGCTGAAGAACTACACAGCAACAGAGAAGTACTTGACCAAGGACGAGATAGAGATGATGGCGTTCATGGTTGATAAGGTGATCCATCGGGAGCTGCCTCCAGCGATGAATGTCAGCGATGCACAGGTGGATCTAGAGGTGGGTCTTAACCCTCTGAATTGCTTTCGACGAGATTGAGATGAAAGCTGGCATTGTTCATGAAAGCTGCTGTGGCAGTAGACAGTGTTATACCTCTGCCTTGAATACTGTATTTTTATTGGCCTGGAATGATCGGATCACCGCTCAATAACTTTCACTCGGAAAATTGTTAATAGTAAAATGCAGTTGGAACAGCGAACTGGCGTAGTGCAACACAAACAGAATCTTGACCTGCTTGAGGCGGAATGACTTAATATTGTCAAACGGGCGGTTCATCAATTGTTCTTCATTATTTACATATGAATCCACACAAACAAAAGATGAAGCTGGAAGCCTCGTGGAGTATCTCACTGTTATTCTCAGTCACACAATTCCAACTTAAATCACATATGCCACCGATGATGGCCTTTTCCCATGATGCATTGCACAAAATGGCCTCTCTGGTATCTTTGCGGTAGCACGTAATATTATCAATCGGTCTTATTTTATAAATTTGTTCTCCAGGCTAGAAGAGGTAGACAACTGCAGATTTGTTCCCATTCTTTTTTCCAGAACATCTTAGAGTTGTCAAGTAATCTTCTGTCCGTGGATAGAAAGCGACGCTGGATCAGCATTCAGCAGGTAAGGTCTAACACATCGGGCATTGTCACAGGGTGAAAAGTAACAATGCTCTCCGTGGCTTGAGTCAAGTTCAGTCTGAGCATGCACGAGACATTTAGCCAAACCAGCTGTAAGTTGGAGAAATATGACTTCATTACTAGAGACATATCCCTTGAGTGGAAGCTGATGAAGAAATATAGTACTTATGCTTGCTCAACCTTTAAAGAGCACCGTCTCACCGCTAATTTAGAGGGGAAATCTGCCACCCCTTCAGATGTTGGTTATCCTATTTTCTTAAATTTGTTATGTGTGTAAAGACCTCCATATATTTATGTCGGCAGCAAAGTCACATTCTAAAAAAAAGGCGTCTTTGTTGCTATTATTCCTAATTCACACCACAGTTCTTGCAATACCACTGTCCCTTCTGCACAGTCAATTGCATAACCTTAACATAGTTTTCAAAACTTCAGCTTTTGTGAAAATGCAGTGATTGATTTCATTCAGATTGGTTTCAAAACGTGTTTGGCATTACCAAAACTCAGGAATGTTTTGTCTAACAAAATAATGTGCTATGATAGCAGTAATTATGTGGATAATGTATTAGGGTGAAGGTTGTCAGAGATTTTATTTTATGTAAAATGCATCCCGCTCATTAAGTATTCTGCAGCAATTTCTTCGTTCATATTTCTTGAGATGTTTCTTATTGAGTTTTTTCCTGACGACTTTTATTCACAGAGTCAGGGTGGTGTCACAAAGATGATGAAAGACCTCGAGAACTACAGCATGAAGATGGCTGATCTGCTGGTCACACCTGATGGCCAACCTAACGATGATGTCACCATGACTGTAGTATCCAGTAACATTGGTAAATTACCGAGCAGGCTGGGTTGACTTTGAACCCCCCATATAAACACACTGCCTCTCCATACGTCACACATTTGAGCAAATATCTCCTAATAACCCAGAGTATCCATGATGCATGGTCTGAAGGTGTGCAACCTGATCCTGGATATGCCAGTGAAGACCTGGTAAAGATTTAGAAAAACCAGTAACATTTATTGGGGTAACTAATCAAGATTTTAGAGATATACACTGCTGAGCAGTCTCCTCATGTCTCATTAATGACGTTGTAGCGTTGCTCTGTGACACTGTCCTAGAGGTTTGAAACAGCAGTGATATGATTGGATGTGGTTTCACTTTTGACGGTAAGTCAGTAAGCACAATTCAAAAACGTTGACTTCAGTGAGCACATTTAAGGTTGACAATGTGAACAGAAAACCTTCCGTAATTAACAGTGTCTTCCTAAAACGGCATCACAATAGTAGTGTTGGAAAGCTTTAGAAATTTCAAATTTCCAAATAGGGCATTTTTCAACAAAACTAACCAATAAGGGATATCAAGTAGTTTTCACACATTTAACAAGAGCAGAAATTTGTACTAAATATAAAATAAAGTTCAAGTCGTAGGCTTTTAACCCCAAGTGAGCTTTTTCAATTCAGTCGGACATAGCCCCCGCCTCCTCATTGCCAGCATGCATTGAGAACATGTCTATAGAAAAAGTTTACCTGTCTCAGACAAATGGACATTTTGCCGGAATGAGGTGCCCAATTTACATTAAATTAGTGTCAAAATGATTGTAAGACATTACATGAAACATACACAAATAAAAAAGCCTGTCCCCGGCTCTGCTAGGATTGAATTAAACGGGGAGCAGTAAACTCCCTCATCATGGCTTATCACACTCTTGTCTTCTTTGCAGTGCTTCACATCGAGCGGTTTGACATTGGTGCTTTGGACCCAGACAACGGCCTGCTGTTTCCTCAGTATTCAGATCCTGATCTCCAGCCTATTAACCAATCCTGGAATCAGCCCTCTGACACCATCCAACTGCCCAAGAACTTCTTTGATTTCACAACGGAGAGTAAGCAATCCCGTCACCTTTGATTTAAGTGGCCTTTGCTTGATTGAATTGATATTGAAAATGTTATAAATTTTGCCCCTGTGATGTCTGCCTGCAAGAAAATGTTATGAACAAATAAATCATCCTGTTGTTAGCAAGGAATCTGTCGATTAATATTCCAAAAAGCATTCTTAAACATATCAATTTTGTAATCCGTAATTTAATTGACCATTTACTGTTCTTATCTTCGGAAGATTGAACAATAAATGAAAACGCTTGTAATTTGATTAGATAATGTGGTTTTTCAGTGCAACAGCTATAGCTGTCAAGGATTCTGTCATTGTAATCATTGTCATCAATATTCTCCTGATCTTCGTCTAGTGCATTGTCATCTTCAACATAATCAGTGTTATCAATTTCATTTTATTACTAATTTCATTATCATTCAACGCAAGTTAAACATCTCTCACAGGAATCATTTTTATCCTGTACATGTGATTCTTCAAAGACTAAGCCCAAAACTGATATATCCAATCCACCTTGCCTAAAAAGCTAGCTTAGCAAGCACTAGTAAAAGTGATCATGTTATTATTATGATTATTATGAATTTATGGTAATGACCCCGAGGATTCTTTAAAAGTGCCCTAGGCACTGTAGCTCACAAGCCTGAAGAACCCTTTAGAGCAGGGACAATGAGAAGCAGAACAGTTTTAGAGGTGGGAGGAAAACCCCAGAGGAATATTCTGGGTACAACCCACGAAATCAGGTAGGGACTGAAAACCTAATCCACATGTAGACTGGGTGAGGATTCGAACCTGGACCATAGAGGTGGAAGGCGAGGAAAGATCCTCTACGCCAACCCGACTCCCTCATGTGCAACAAAGTGTGGACCTCTTAAGGAAGTCTCATGTCAAAACATCCCGTCATTGTCTTTTCCAATTTGCTAGAGACTGGAGGTGGCACATTAGTGGGCCTGGTCTTCAACAGTATCACTGAATTTATGCCTGTGGAAACAACAGAGCCGTAAGTCCAACCTGCCGCTGTACCTTGCATCTTTCATCTCTAGGGTCCTCTTCTTAACTCAATCATTGGTGTACCCTAGGATATCAGGTGAAATGAAAGACTGTTGTGAAGATTGTGGGTTAACCTTCATGATGTCTATTTACAGTGTCCATGACTGACTCATTCATTCAAGATGATATCTTGTAACCACCCCGTTCCATTGTTAGGAGCATACATATTTAATACATCACAAGGCTGGCATGGAAGGAATCTTTATCCAAATCCAATTATGCTGAATTGAGCGATTGGAATAGCAAATATTCATCCTAAAAAAGTAGTCCACCATCTACCTGGACATACCCCCTCACTTGCTAGGTAGAGACAGGCTGACAGAAAAAATGTCAATACACGGCATGGTGCACTGGGGAAAAACTGTATATTTCGACAGAAATCTGTTGAACATGCTCAGTGCATGCTGCACTTACAGTGAATTCCCACCAATGAGTTTCCACCAAAGAAGGCTATTCCTATGTGGAAACACACTTTTTGTTCCTGCACAGAGCAAATAAACGGAGCAGGTTGGTTTGTCCTAGAGTCGTAACTTATGTGAAAAGAGTCGCACGTGATTGGTCACTGTGAGTTGAATTCATTTCTTTACAGAGATCTACGAGAAAATGCAGAAACCAGAGTCATAAAGCTGACCAGTCGTGTAATGTCACTGACTGTGGAACCCCCCCTTAGGAAGAACCTGTACAATCCTGTTGAAATCACATTGAGCAACGTCAAGGTCAGTATCTCTCATCCTTTCCCAACCAATTTGTCTGCATATTACTCTCCCTAGCCTACCACCTTTGGCTTTTGCCTGCACCAGCAATGTAGACCTCTAATTATAGACTATACATGCATAGAACACTCTGTGTGTATAACACTGCAGTGCTGTAATCTTGTTGAGAGGAAACATATGCTTGGAGGTGCATGTTGGAAGTGCCTATCTAGTAATTTTGATGTGTCTGTTAATGGTATTTTCCTATTTGTGAAAATCAAGGTGCCTGTTTTAAAAAAAAAGTTTTCAAACAAAAAAGCACATTTTACTTCAATGAATACAAAAGACCAATGCAGTCAAACAATCCTGAAGGCTTGTAGAAGTTGAGTAGCAGTGTGTGGCTGGTTGGACCAGTCGCAGGCTGGTTACTCTGTGAGTTTATGTGCAGGGTGATGAGCAGCTAAATACTGGACTGATCTTGGCAGAATGTCCCTGTCAGTTGTTGAGTTGGCATTTGAGTCATAATTCTTGTAAGGATCAGGCGGGAGATTTGGAGTTTTGTATGAGTTTCATATTTTCAGTTTTTAAATTTTATTTGCAGGCAAGGGAGAATAACATGGAGCCCATCTGTGCTTTCTGGGACTTTGACATGGAGTAAGTATTACTAAACTGCCTGGTATTCTGTAAACCTGGTTGCCAAAATTGCATTAAAAGGAAAAAGCTAAATTTTGAATCTACTACAATAAACTCCCAATAACTCAAAGTTGGTTAAATCAAACTCCGCTTATCTCAAAGACATTCTTCAATCCCGCCCAAAGAATAGGCTTTTATGTACAAAATACCTCCGTAACTAGAAATGGCCACACCACTACACCCACTTAACTCGAAGTTTTTTAAGGGCCAATCCAAAAAGACCTCCGCCAAATTACTGACACTGCGTGGAAACAGAATGTGGAGACTTTAATTATGAGTCATTTCCGCAAGCCTCACCTCGTCCGTTTGCGTGAGGACGCGAGCGTGCTTGCTGCCAGCGCCATTATAATTGACTCGTTGCGATCACAAGGTCAACAAATCTTGGCTTTCAAGCAATTCTGATTGCCATCGTGGCCCAAATGTAGCCCGCACGCTTGATCTCTAGTTGTTGATTCTTTACGGTGACCATGTGACCGCACAGAAGGATGCTTAGTTCATGCTGTGGCTAAAGCTTGGCTGCCGCTGCCTGCCTAATTGTAGCCCTTGTGCGCTGTCCACAAACTGACTGATGTGTGTTCCTGGTGCCGTGTTGTTTTGCATTGCCAAATTTCACTCAAATTTTTTTTTAAGGAAAGGTAAGGGAATGAAAAGGCAAACAAAAGCACACAAAATTTATTTTTTACACTCGAACGTTTTGAAATACAAAATGGTGCGCCCTCAAGTAGTTGAAAAGGAATGATCATGTGGCCAAACAGGAAAACCCCGGGCCTTTCTGGCCTCAGCCCAGTGAGCAAGCACAGGGCTGTGCCCTTTACACCGCGGTGTGTGCCGAATGGGAGAACTGTCACAAAAAAGTCCACGGTTTCGGTGGTTTATGTTTTATTTATCAGTAGAATAGAAAATTTTATGTGAAAAACAAACAGGAAATCTCTGCAAACTAATGATTTTAGAAGAAATTTATTCTTGGATATAAGGAAATAACCTCTCATAATGTCTTCAACAGCCACCGCTGGGGAAAGTAGGTTACTTGTGCACTGTGCGTGTATGCGTTGTCGTGCAGCAAATTTAAGAGCAACCATGCAGCACATGTGCATCTGACAATACAAAAATGAACTACTAAGAACACTTTCCAATAATGCATCTTCAGACACATCATTGGAAGTGGCCTTCTTTCATTGCTTTCTTCAAAATGACAGCTAGCCCCATAACCATTTCTTAATCAAGTATGCTGTTCTTTAATAATTTCATTAGTTACCATATTAGCAGCTGTAAATTTAGTGAGCGTATCAGCGGCTGCAAATTTAGGACCCTATCTTTAAACACAAAGGTCTTTTCTTAATCCACTGAGTAATCTGTCCACCTTTGTCACTTAGAAACACAATCAATGGAGGCTGGAGCACCGATGGTTGTCAAGTCCATTCCAGCAATATCACACATACGGTGTGTTATTGCTATCATCTGACTAACTTTGGAACGCTCATGAAGCCCATTGAGGTTGAGGTGAGTTGAGTACAGCTACTGAAAGGAGTGACCTGGGTCTTCACTGTTTGAAATATCTTAACATTCTAGCAGTACGCTTTGTTCATTGCATGACATGCTGAACTTACCTAAGAATCGTGCCACTTCACTCTGCAAGCATGCTTGCTTTGGGTGGTCAGGAAACATTGCTCTTAACAAACATTCTAGTTTCCACGGTGAAGCCTAGGGAAAACATATGACCATGGATCAAACCAAGAGCTCACTGAAAATGAATTTCTGTGTTTGTTTCATACCTGCCAACTGTTCCAATGTTGGAGTTTAAAAGGTCTAAAAATGAGAGCTTTCTGATGTCCAGAATAAAAAAGTCCTTATAAAAGAGGATGCTATTTGCAGAAAGAAGAGAGCTCTACTTGCTTTGTCAAAATGGCAGTCTAGTTGCTACCTCAGACATGTATACACATGTACATGTAAACAGCTTCTCTGGCAGAGCTGCTTGTTTTGCCATGGACTCCAAAAATGGGTGTCCACCTTCTGACTTTTCAATGTTGGCAGTGCGTTGTTCGAAAATTAACAGAAATCTAATTTCACTTCAGAATATCCCCCTCTCTGATAAACAGTTTCCATCCAACCCCGTTGCCTGTGCAAAACCTTATATCTATGCCCCATGCTTGTAAAACCCCATTTGCTATGGGTCAAATACTTAATGTGGTGATGGTAATATTTTGCAGGTGATCAGTCAAGACGTGATCAATCTGGAGTACATCTCCTGGGCAGGTAACGGTCTGTCCATGCTGGCTCTCTTGTCTCTGCTTCTCATCTTTGTCTGTGTCAGGTAAGTTGAGACAATCCTCTCTTGTTTCTTATGTGTCCTTCCTAATCTCAGAAAATCTGGCCATGATTACATATAAACAACAGTAAGCTACTACGGTCTATGTGCGGGGTGTGGCATTTTGCCTTTGCACAGTGCCCTCGCTTGGCATTTATGTCGTAGTTGTTAACTTCACTACAAGTTGCCACCATTAAGTTCGTCTTTACTCTTAGAAGTAGACCTTAAATTGTAAAAAGACATGTATTATGAACCTGTTTATTTTTCAGCTCAACAGATTTTTATCCTTTTATAGAAACAGTCAATCACACATAAATTAGCCATTTGGTTCCTGGAAGATTTTACCCATAGCATACTTGCCTGTGGCTGGTTTGTGTAGATCTGTCATATCTGTTCAGAGGCTCTCTTCGACTGTCTTGGATCACAGTTGACCATCTTTGGCCTTAGTCGGTAATTGTATACCTCGTGTCACAAGTGGAAATGATCCTTTTGTTCTTTTGCAGTAAACTGCGCACCATTGTCAATGCAATCCACATCAACTTGATCATAGCTATGATGCTGGCCAAGACAACGTACCTCATTATACCAATCGTTAAGGACGATCAGGTATAGAAAGTTTATGATATACCATAAATACAAATGTACGTGTGTATGTAAGAGTGGGGTAGTTTGGATTATTTCCACCGTCCTTATCAATTGAATCTTTGCCATGACTCTTGCCGGCTGTGTCTAACTTATACATGCACCACTCACAGAAGAACAGGGTGATGAACCGATTTGGTATTCCAACAGCGCGTGCCCAAAATCAAGTGTGTTTGGGGTCATTCAGATGCGCATGCAAGGTTTGCCCTATCAGCACAGCTCCACTTGGACTTATGCATAGGTTTTGTTCCTGAATGAGCTTGCTTTGTGAAGCACTGAACCGGCATATTAGGCAGAGATGCATGTAGTTAGGTATGGCTGATCGAGAACCTTTGACCACATCAACCAAAGTCACCACAGTCGGTACGGAACATGAATTTGAATGGAACTGGCAACCAAGTTATGAGTTGCAAAGCAGTCTGTTTATCGTTGGAGAATTTCTTTCCTAATTGTCTTCCCATGTGATGGGCTTTCTCTCCCTGGTCAGACTGCCTGTACCTGCATGGCTGTGGTCCTGCAGTATTTCTACACGGCGACCTTCTCCTGGATGCTAGTTGAGGGCATCCATCTGTTGGTGGAAGTCAGGAACCCAGTCGGCAATTACTTCAGGCAGAAGTCTCGCTACTACCTGCTGATTGGCTGGGGTGGGTCGTTACCTTCTTTTTAAAGAGTTCAGTGTTAAGAATAATTTCTTGAGGTGACGTTGGACGGGTCAAAGTTATTTGTCACTGAATAAAAGTATTTTTTCCATTGCAAGAATGTTAGTCATTAATTGTTTGTTTTATATTGAGCCAAAGTAAATAGTGAAAAACCCACCTCCACCTACAAGTTCAGAAATGTTGTGTATCATATATTTGAACATTCTGTTTAATGCATACTGTGAATTGGATTATGGGTAATTCCAGAAATTAGGGGTCCAAAACTGTAATATTTTTGTGTCCCTGTTACATCTGACCTTTGTTATTTGACATAGAAATATCACCAGAATTGATTTCAAACTATTACTATTTGTTTGGCAGGTAATTTGCATTAATTCATCACTCTTGGAAGTTAGAAAATGTGTTCTGAACTTAATACAAAATCATATGTCAGATTAGACAGGGACACGAAAAAAACAGGACCCCTTATTTCTGGAATTTCTCGTATTCTTTTCGTGCATTGGAGCCTGGTGCAATTCATTTGGATATATAATTCACAGACACATGACCTACTACTAAGATGTTAGGGATTTTAAGGTGGTGTATAGAGGACACATATTGGGTAAAGAGTGGAATAGCATGCACATCTTGACCATCAGTGAGGCCAGCTCAGGCCATTGGTACATCCTGGCACCTGCACACCCCCGAAGAACCGTGGTGGAACATGAAGCAATCATGTCATGTAAACGGGGTCCTTTTTTTGGCAGTTACGTACCGGCCAGAATCAAGACCCACAGTTGAGCAAAATTCCCAAATGATGCCGTCAGTGTCTGGCATGTAACACTTTTGTAGCAATGAGGACACTCCACATTGAAATGTGATACTTAAACTTTTCCCTGATCAAAAAATAGTCTGAATATTTCTGCCCCAGGCAGGTACAGCTGCTTGCTGCATTTCTCACTGTCTTTGTTTCCATGATTTTATGTAGGTATGCCAGTAATGATCGTTGGCACTACCCTCGCTATTGCTTTTGAAGGATATGGAACAGAGGACAGGTAAGTTACAAGTAAAGATGATCAATCCATTTCTTAACCTGTTGCTTAATTAACTGTTATTGTGGTACCCTAGTTGCTGAGCCTGAATTAATGTCAGCTTTGTCTCAACCGTGGTACCCTGTTTGCTTGTTTTTCAGCTGTTGGATGTCGATTGAGAATGGTGCCGTGTGGTTGTTTGTTGGGCCTTGCATCGTCATCATTCTGGTGAGTTCCCGTATTGACGGTGTCTACCAATAGAGCTTGTTATTGCCCAATCATAAGACTTGACAATATCAGTATTCTTCAAGTTCTGAATTTGAAAGGGATTCTAATAGATTTTAAAGCTCAATAGTCATTTTTTAAATATGGTTGGAGACAAGCAAAACCTGGCGGGCTGCCAGGCTACTTCCACAAGTTGGAAAACACTGCCAAATTATTTTGTTGGGAACAGGGAATAATTAAGTCACTAGTCAGTAGTCACTAGGTGGGTTCTGTGTGCTGTGGTTCATCTAGCAGCTACAACCAAAGAAGCGAGTGTAAGTCTCTTTATTTATCCACCACAAATGAAAATCTGAGTTGACCTTGGCAAGTTTGAGGGTCAAAGGTGAAAGCACCTGCATCAGTAATAAAAAGTTGTGATTTCCAGTCCCTCTGAAGCAAGTCTGTGAGCTTTTGTTTCAGATCCAAGTACATGTACTAAGCAAACCTGTGTCAGGGAAAGGACCCAAGATTAAAAGGACACCATTTTAACTCTAAGAGGGGGGGCATTCTCAGGAGTTTTTCAGTAACTTTTTGTGCAAAATCCGTATCCCCCTCTACATTTGTGTCCAGTATCGCCTCAGTGCATTCGTTGCACCAGCTGAGCCTTTAGGAGGTTTCAGTAACTCTAGTTGGTCATTTTTACTCCATTTGTGTGAAAATTGCTCGTCCCACTCTCGTGCAGCACCCATTTCTCCTGAGACGGGTCGGCTATAAATATTACAAATAAGGAGTGTCTTTAGTTACATGTGGAGTTTTTAAAAGTTGGGCATGGCACAGCTGAGTTCTGGGGGGGAGGGCAGAATCTGTCCCCCCCCAGCTGTAAAATGGTCCGGTATAACCTGGGTCTTTTAGGGTTAATGTGAGACACTATCAAAGGCACAAACACACTGGCCGTTTGGATTTACTTCTTATTCTTGGTGCTAGGTATTAATATTTTCAGCATACATTTCAGCTACAGTTTCACTCAATGTCAGTAACAAATGTGATGTAAGTCTGTATTTTGTGCGTGTGTGTGATTTGCTTTTTGAATTCAGTAACTGATAAATCTACATTTTGCATTTAATGTTACTGAACAGCTCAACCTGTGCATTCTTTACATCGTGTGGAAAAGCACCATCAATTCCACAGAAAGAATTGGCAAAGTGCAACTACAGCGGTAAGATGTAGCTCTTGCTCCTACCGTTGACCTATCATCAAATTGTGAGGTAGCCATGTCCCTTCGACAACTTGCTTGGAACCCAACCCAGCGTATGTGTGTAAAGCATGATATGCATAAGCAGCGTACAACAGCGCATTAAACATGCGCTCGCAAAGCATTTACTGCACACACTTATGAAGTCATCTGAGATGTATGGACCATGTACATGTACTGTACATTCCTGAAGCTGAATCTCAGGCAGCATGTAGCTCGGGTTCAAATCTTCTACTCTGGCATATTGCGTATTAACAGATAAGCCAAACTGAGGCGCATACCACTGGATGACACGTCTTTGGAATTTGTCAAAGGTTTGGGAGTATTAAACGGTGTGACTGCATAATTCTTGTGAACGGCAGTAGGTGTATTCTTATCATTGTCCTGGTAGTAAGCTCTGGGGTCAAAGATCAGAGCATTCCGTATTGCGGGCTCTAGAGTATGCGCACAGAGGTGTATGGCTGTCAAATCGATTCCCAAGGGCAACTATTGCACATACTTTCATCTGGATTATGCCCATGATCACTACCCATCCCCACTTGCCTTTGTGGGATTCAAACTTGAGTCACATGGGGCCCAGTCAAGCTTGAATGCTGTCTAAAGTTCATTCATTGGTCAATTGCCTCTCAGCAATGGACATGCCCAATGCCGTCCTACCCAAACCATCTTGGTCCAAATATTTATTTGAGATTAATCCTGTCATCACTCACATTTTGTGTGTGGTTGCGACTCACCCCGCGTTCACAGTCTCTGTCAGCTTGGGTAATTATTTCCAGGTCACTGGCTTGCTCTACCCAATTTTTAAAAAAGGCAAGCGATGACCAGCGACACAACCATGCCCTAGGACCTGTTACCAAACGGCCGACTAGCTAGGCCAACCACCCATGGCTCAGTTGACAATGGTCAAACTAGACAGATGAAGTGCCTTTTACCACTCCTCCTTGTGTTTGTCTTCTCCCACTTATCATTTCTAGTTCCAGCCTGCGTGCCTCAGCTCTCCTGCTACCATTCCTGGGCTGTTCCTGGGTCTTTGCCATTCTTCACATCAACTACAATTACATCATCCTGGCCTATTTCTTTACCATCCTCAATTCACTCCAGGTCAGTCCTGCATCTGTATATATACACACACACTGCTCTGGGTGTGAGGAGGCATCCAGTTGTAGTGCAAGTATTGTACCAGGTCTCCAACATAATCATTTCCCTGTTGGAGATTTTTTAGAGCACACCGACCCAATGCTTTCTCCATTTACTTGAAGGGTTCCATGACATGACCAAAAAAGTACTCATGTACATAGATTTGTAGGTATTAAAAATATTGTCTCATTTCAAAACTCAAACATATAATCTATTCTATTTGTACATACAATGCTAATTTTTATGTGTATCCTGCAAAGGGAAAATTGGCCATTGAGGAGTTTTTTTCGTCTGAAGCAGCTACACTTCAAGATATCCTGAAAAACTGAATTTTGTGAAACCGACCAATTTAGGCTGCGTAACTTTTTTCAAAGCTTTCTGTTTTTTCCTAGCTTATTCTCTCAGTGTACCTGAAAACCAAGCAGATACAATATATTCAAACTGAAATCTTTCACAATTTGGGGCAAATTTTTATTTTTGGGGGTAATTTTATTGAAAGGCAGGAGATGCCCTGAAAGGCAAATTGTGAATGTGCTTACAGCTTTCATAATGTTAGATCAATCTGACTGAAGAGAGATTTCATTTTTTTTGTCTGACAGGGTGTCTTCATATTCCTCTTCCATGGTCTTGGTAACAAGGAGGTTTGTTGGTCAAATTTGATTTGGAGCCAGCATTTTGATGGAATTCATTTTAAATCAATTTTGTCATAGTCGTATTTTAATGGGCCTGATTATTTTTAGAAATGCCTGTATATTGTTCATTTGTACAAAAATTATCATTTTTCTTTTGACGTAGGTTCGTTGGGCCGTCTTGAAGAAGGATGCTGAGGTTGGATTTTCAAAAGTTGAGGAGGTCTCAATTGTAAGTACTACGCGTATGCAAATGTTGACAAACTTGAAGGCAAACAAACATCCACAAAGGCAAACATTTAAAAAAAAATCCATAATTTTACGAATTCGGGGACAAAAACATCTACCTTTGCACTGCCTTCTACAGTTTTTTGACAAATTACTAGTGTAAATCTGTCATAGATTCAATCACATGCTGCACATTAAATATGCTGCGGTTTTTGTTTATAATGCTGGATTGGTGTAATTTAATCAACAGACACCTAATACTATGAAGATGAGACCTATGTACATGAGAGCCCCAAGACCACCTCCAACCTGTTAGTATATCAGCCTCGCCTTATAACTCTGATTTATAGAATTATTTGCATTGAATTATGAATGAATGTTGCTGACGTGAATATTTCACTAATTTGTATGAAAAAGTAAAGCTGAAATACTCCTCTGGAAGGAAGCAAGAATTAGGTGAATTGCAGGTAGTCATGAAGAAATACCCCAGACAGGATTTCACTTTTTAAGCTCTCATTCTAGTGCCAGTGGTGAGCTAGCTAGCCCTTTTGTTGTCAGCATTATACCTGTTCTTGCATTTTGTACAAAAACAAAGAGACAAACAAAATGGTTTTAAGTGATAGACAGACTACGGAGTGTTCAAATGCTTAATAGAAAATTTCTAACTATCCCCAAAGTGCTACATGACAAAGGCTTACCTTCTTCCATGAGCATCTTTTGTGTTACAAATTTTCTGCCACCTGATTAGGCTTCTGCTGGGTACCAGGGGACCCACCCGTTGTTATCAAAACCTGGTTCATTTTGTCCCCACATATAAAATCTACATGAACTTTGATAGTGGAGGGCAGAATTGAAAAATCACAGTATCTTGGACCGGCGGTCATGACTGCGGTTCAGAGATCGACGGGGCTACTTTTACTACAGACTGAATTGTTGTTTAATGAAATGGTGGGGGGATTCCCCTCTAACATTTATGAAAAGAGAGCCCTCTATTGGGTACATTGTCCGCTGGGATTACGCATAATGTCATTTGTTAAGTGCTCTTTATATTTTATGGGGGCCCAGTTCCAAACGTACCCGTTAATGCACACCTCTACACCTGATGAACTTTTCACAAGGAAATGATCTTAGTGGGCCATTAATCGGTTTTACACACCCTATTTATGGTGAACAAATAGTGGATGTTCGTGACTGCAATGGTAAAAATAATTTCCTAAGGTGACATATGGAATGCTGAGTGTAATGGAATAGGCTTATTCCATCTGTCACTGAACGATCATGTATTTCATGGTACAAATGTGAAACATTGATTGTTTTGTATAATGCCTAAATAAATCTCTGCGTCATCTCATAAGTCTTTATAAATCCCACCAGTAAATCCTGGAATGGTCTACGGGTTCAGAAATTTCCTGTGACCATACGAGGCAACTTCCTTGTGCCATTGAAATGGACATTTTTTTAGTTGTTGCCACTACAGACATTTGGACAAATAAATCAATGAATCAGTGACATGTGATCAAGAATCCACCAATCAGACGAAGATTTGTCTAGGCATTTTATACTTCAATTTATGGGGCATACCATTGTCTAAAGGTAACATTTTGGAGTGCTACTACATAAAAGTTGAATGTCAATTTGCAGAACATCGATGAAGAAAATATTGTTCTCATTCTCTCTACAGATGTCCCTTGATGCCATGACGGGGAACCACCAACAGACTGAAGAAGATGTGTTTATTGTTTGAAAAGCGTATCAATTTTGAATGGCGAAACTATAACATTAATCAGTGTTTCTATTGAAGTTATTTATCAAACGGTGTGTCATTTAATTGGTCATAACAGTTCTTGACTTTCATCTCAGACAAAAATCTAGCACCAACTATAGTTAACTATAGTTTGATCAATATTGCCCAAATGATAGATAATGTGGACCATCTAGTCCACCATTTGCAATCATGGTCACTCTGCTGGCTATCGATAGCCGATTTTGTTTATTAGTATGGAGGCAACCATTAACATAAAACTAATTGTATGAGATGTCATTAAACATGAATGCTAAGAGAGTTGAAACCAGTGGCATAATATGAGTGACAGAGGGATCTTAATCAGGGCAGTCTGAGGGTAGCTTTATTGCCCGTGCCAATGGTTAGAAAGCATTTGACTAGTGGTCGAGCTATAGTTCACATCTTCCCTCATTTGGACATTTAAAAGTGGTTAACTATTTCACCAGTGTCGGAAATGGCATTACATTGTACTTTGTAGCCCGAGTGAGCCACTGTACACACTGAACTACTGTGTGTTAGACATGAGATGTAGAGATACTTCATAAGGCATGCCTAACACATCTTATGTTCCCCCATGACTGAACTGATGTATGTTACCAAGTCATTTTTTCAAGGCACAAGTCATTTTTTCTAAAGTAAGCCACAGGTCATGTTGTTTTCAACCCCCATTCACATTTACATATTCTGACACCTTTTTTATTGATGTGATCTATAATGCTTTGCAAAAGAGCTCTGACCTGTTTGCCATCATGATGATGTTTCCATAAAAAACGTTGATTCACATTGATTTTAAAAACTTGGAACGTAACCTGTCGAGGAGAATAAAACTTCTGTATTGCCAAGATGGATTTTTAAAAAATGCTGTAGGTATTGATTGACACACTTTTCCAATTTACATTTTTCATGAACTGTACTGATTTGTAGACACTAATATCTTAATAGCTATGCTAAACCCAGCAAGACTGTTTCTGGTTTACTCTGCACCATCTTAGTTAGGGTTGATAGAAATGAAAGCAATATTCACAAAAGGTATGTTGTCATCATTTTACAATGAGTCTTACGGACACTTCTTGGATTTCAAATAGTCATGGGATCAACTAGAATGCTTGTAATTTATGTGCAAAGATAGTAACAAAAACAAATTCTCCATGTGATATCTTTTGTAGTAATAGTAGGTCAGATTATGTATTTTGAAGAGAATTGATGTGAATACTGTGGATTAGCTTTCATAAATGTTTAAGAAAGATTTCAGGGATTGCTTCAGTGGTTGAATTCTGACTTGGCCGTTTTCACTGATCAAAAAGGCAGTAATAACGATGCTGAGAAATGAATTTTAGATTATAGAGATTACCCAGCTGCCAAGCCATGCATCCTTAATCAAAGGAGGGAGTTATGACTTTATCTAACAGCACGTTATAAATGAATTAGTCACATTATAGGAGGCTTGTGGTTAGGGTTTGTAATAGATGTGAGTTTGGGAGAGTCACTTTACACCCACTTGCCTCTCTCCACCCAGGATTACAAATGGGTGTTTGTGAAAGCAGACAGGTTGATTGGTTAGCCATGTGCACCTGATATAGAAGCATCAAACTGTATACTCTCCAAGGAGCTGAGATTGTTTTTAGGAATGTTTGTGGTCCAGTTAGCATGGATAATAAGAAGCAAAGAGAGAGAAAATGGAGAACTTCACTGTGAATACACATAAAATGTTGTAATCTCATAAGCGCCATTTAGGTTGGACTACGCCTGCGTAGTACATGTTAGTGCGACAGGCGTAGGTGCTGTGACAGGCACACACACCTAGTATGCCTGCGCTAGCACCTGTGCATTAATATGCACACTCGAATGGCACCCATGGTGATAACACCTTTTTGGTAGAGTTCTCCATCTTGTGTCGCTATGCAGCGCTATACTATCTTTGGTAAGAAGTGCATTGTATCTCCTGGTCAATTACATTGCCATTTTTTTCCAGAGTAAGTGTGCATATTACTATGCCACCACTAGACTTTGAATACATTGCAGTGTGTGTGTGTATTCGTTGCATTATGAGACACATTACTGTCTCTCCCAAAATTCCAGTCAATATAATTCAACAGGAACTATTTACACAAAACTGAACCCAACATTGCTAGACGCAAATTTAAAATAGTAATTTTATTGCTCATTTCATGGAAGAATAAATATAGTTAGGCTTAAGAGTTTGGCAACAAATGAATACTTGTTCCAGGGAGAGTTTACGTACCGTGTTAATACTGCAAACAAAGACATCGGGCTATAGTTTAGGGGAAAATGGTCCTCCACAGTATAAACTGGACTGTAATTAATTTAAAATGTTTAGACAATGCTGTTTCATTTTAATAGCAACCTTGTTCATAGTTTCAACAAAAACGGTCAATAAAAGTTGAACACTGAAATATTTGAGTACCATAAGAATTGCATTCATAAGGCACAGGCAATTGGTACCTGAAATATGCATGCATACGTTGGAAAGCTTTGAACAGCAACATTCATCCCTACATCAATTATGCAATTGGATAGAGGCATGTGCCGTGCTCTGGCGACTGCCTTTCTTTTAAGCTGAGTGTATGGCAGTTACATGGACTTGATTACAGGATCTACATGTGTGTGCCATTAATGCATTTCATTGGCGGTAACTGCAAAATTTATCTGCAATACAAGATTCCCGGAGTGGGAGACTGAGAGATATTGGCAGCAGCAGACAGACCAGTCCTTTTCCACAATCTTGCGTCTGCTCAAAACTATGCACACATGCTCAGAACTAGCAAAAAAGGAACGGTATGTTTGCTACCACCAAGAGTCTCAACGACGCTCACTGTGTTCTGCTTTGGCTGAACTGCTGCAGGAAAAAAAGTCAAAGGATCACCTTTGGGAAAGAAGTCCACGCATACATATAACCTCGCAATGACAAAGCAGCACTGAGACTTCATTCATACCCAAACTCAAGTCAAATATATGCAGGGTAATATGACATGCCAGTGCAGCCTCTCTATCAACCTACACACACAGGCACAAATGGCCAAGGTGTTTATACCAGCCAGTAATAATGTCATGTCACTAAATTTACAATCAATTTGGCTTGTCTGATAGGAATTTCGGTGGGGAAGAGAGACATGTTTCACCTTTAAGTTGTAAAACTGCTTACAAAATAGCAGGTTTGTTTTTTTTCTGCTAGTCGAGGTAGTCAAGTCATTGAAAAATAAATAGTTACTTTAGACTGCTGAAGTACTTCACAAGAATCATTTACAATACAAGAAAAATGCATAAAAAAGCTATACTAACTACAAATTTGCTAAACATACAAACTTTATAAAATGTACTGAATATATATATAAATTTAGCTACAAGTAGAGTTATAGGAAATTATGTATGGAGCATTTATTGAGCAGAAATATATGTATCCATACAAAGTAACAAAGATCATCTACATTTCAACCTGTATGGCTGCAAAGATGCTTCTAATAATAAAACATCAACACCATCATACATGTTTGCAGCACTGGTTTTTGTGACCGTACATACTATGGTATCTCACACTTGTAATGGAAGAAAACTTTATTCATCAAAACACTTAAAATAGAATGCATAATATCCATGTTTATACTAATATTTGTAATAAAAACTCACCCTCAAGGGGATATTTGTTAACACTGAAACCACAAATCATGACATGAATACTATCCCCTCAAGGCTGCTGTATTTGATGTCTATCAAATTAGTCAAATGAGGGATCAATTTTCAGTACGATGTGGGAGTTCGTAATTCTTGCTATCTTGGAAGACTTAAAACCAACACTTTAGAAAGCACTGTTGTCCATATATGTGTAAAAAATCAAAATTACTCGAGACTCAAGCACACTCGAGTCCCAGCGTCGATGTGCAAGAACATACTATTCTTAACCCTATTACTTTTGGAACATGGAATAGTCAAAGCAGGCAATCATACATTCAACTTGAAGCTTGTCAAAAAACTACTAAGCCAAAGTAGCCCGAGAGTGAAGTACCAGTAAGCAAGGCATCAGTCAGAAGCAAATGGAAGTACATCAAATTTGAGGTGGTGTCTGTGCTTTTGCTAGGCAGGACATTTTCACACTTAATACACCTGGTATGGGTGCTTGGCAGGTCTATGACACTGGCCCAAGAGGAAAACGAAAGGGAAAGGTGCTAATCAACTCTTCAGGAATCCAGACTGCCAACACCTCCAGATTTTGCCAAAGATTCCAAGCAAATTGGTTGATAACAATTTCCAGAACGGTCATTTTTTATTTTAAAAAAAAAATGGTTACCTGTACTTTTAATTGCCACTGACACCATGGGATTTTTAGTAGAAGACACTGCCTCCACATTTCTGAAACCTAAAATATGTGAATAATACAAAGGCTTAGTTTACAGGCACCCACATGATCTTCTGTTTGTTCCCATGTACTTTACATTGCACATGCATACCAATTTGCATTCACACAGCTGATCTACTTCTGGCTGGGAACCAGACTCCCACTGTAAGTACAGTACAGGTCAGAATTTTAGCCGACACGCTAACACAATCAATGAACCTGACACGCTGTTCATTACATGCTTTGCGGTTTTTACCGTGCATTGCTGATCCAAAGCACGATAAGCCTGACCCACGACCTCATTATCTTGGCAGGGCTTGTAACCGCAGACCGCAAAGGTGACCGACAACGTGTAGTGAACCACTGCACACGTAGAGCCGTCGCTCCAGCTTTGTGTATGCATGTTAATACATACATGTATGCTGTATGGAATTGCACTGAATGAGTGCCATCACATGTAGCGCCTGGCTGGCAAGACGACCGTCTTGAAGTATCGAAATATGTATGACACAGCTGTTTTCATTTAGTTTTAGATTGTGAAAGTTGTTCAGTTGGATTACATCTGAAAAACGTTAAATTTCAGTGAAACTGGCCAGTAGTCCACCGTGTGTGTTTAGCTACTACAAAACTTTTGCCGAAATGTAAATTTTGAATTTTTAACTCACGGGATCAAGTGGAGTGATGACGACGCTTTTCCTGCTGATTCTGATGCTAGATCAGTTTTAAGCAATTCCTGATTGCGCAAGAACTTTTTCACAAATAAACAGTAACCACGAAAGAAATCCATTCCTCAGCTAGATCAAAACAAGCTGATTTTACAATGAACTATTTCTTAATTTATGGAAATTTAGTTCACGTATCAGAATTCCAGTAAATAAAAAAAACACTGAACTTGCGTAAATTTTAACTAGACTTTTTCATTTGCTGCCAAACCAACAACAGACATTGTGCCATGACCATGCCGCGACTAAGCCATCGCGAAAGTACAACCACCCCAGTGCTTTCATCCAATCAAAAATCGGAACGATTATATTGCATATTCATTTAAATACAGCACCAACAAATGCAAAGCTACAGCCCTTTCATGTCACATGACATGCATATTTATGAAGGTCACATGGGTGCTACTTTGTCCGTTGTGTGCAGCAGGTGCATGCAAGGCAGACCCGTCTTCCTTTCATTTCGGTACGATCTTTGCCGTTTAATTTGGTTGTAATTTTGTCACAATCTGAGCGATTTCTTTTGGTAGATTTTTCCAGCTGCAGGGTTGAAAACTGATGGGAAAAATCCCCACCTCACATCAAATTTATCTTTATGCGATTTTGAACACACTGAGCTGTTTTGGAGCCATTCAGACATTAAACCAAAAGTGTTGCCTGCATGGCACTTTTATCAATCCTGTATGGACAAACAAAACGATTCATCTTTGAAAATCATTTTGTGATGCTACATACAAGGTAAACTACTGACAACATATCCATAGAATTTGAAGATAACTTGAGCTGCAGTTAAACTGAATACTTTTTGTTGTGGGAAACTAGGAAAATGACTGCTCCTGTCAACAAAGGCCTGGCTGTTCTGGGGTTTGTGTGTAGCATGTGCATGTTTATACTCGGCAGATCGGATTGTTAAGCAGGGGTCAGCGTGTTTCAAGTTTCGGGTTAACTCCTTTCATGTCTGTTGGTCTCCATTAATGCTGACATGCCAAGCGTGTTTGCGTGTTGGCTAAAACTCTGACCTGTAGGGTACAAGCACATATTGCTCAGCTCTATAAGGAGTCACCAGTTTCTGGTTTGAATCCTTGGCTTACAGCTGTTGCCAGGCAATAGAAATTGTTCAGACCAGTGATTGAAACTTCTCAGACAGGTTCCAAGAGTCAGTAGCCAAAGTCCTTTCTGTCGTATCCTACTGCTACTGACCTATCAGTCAGGGGATACTTCCTGATATCTTTGCTGTCGTTCAGCTCAGTGATGGCTCCCAGTATCTGCTGAAGAGGTTCCGTGTTGGCTATGCCCATCTCCTTCAGGTCAGACTCGTTCAGACTCAGGAAGGCTTCCATGTCAACCTGTGCACGGTGAAAAATGGTACACATTATGAGACACAAGAAACAAACAGTTAAGTGTAATCCACAATTCAGGCTCACCATAACAAGGATCAACCACTTACTGCCGGGTGCCCGAAATGGAACTAAAGAGCTGGTCCGTGTTACAAAAGATCATACTCAGAACAAAAGACCTGCTGCTGGGAAATGCCATCATTTTTTGGCTCGCATTTTTCGAAGGTAATTCGTCACTGTTTTTAAACAGTATACCACTGTTTGGGCATGGCGCCCAAGGATTAGCACTGCAGACAAAAGTGCTCCAGGGCCCCATTGATGAGTGATACAGCATCACTGCACGCTAATCCAGCCACGTTTGAAAAGATGCCACTTGCATTAACTGGAGACAAAGGAAATTACGCAACATCTCACAATTCTGGGCTCTCTTTACAGGGTGGCAGGTCTGGCTGAAATACTCAGGAGTCAATGAAGGTTGCCTGTCAGCTTAGAGTAGCTACCAAAAAGTCATTTGGGTGGATGTAAATGTCAATTAAATGAAATAATGAATATTTGAAGAATTTTGAAAAGTGAAAATCTAGAAAATCTCCCATACGTGTGCAATGCATTTTTAAAAGCACCCGGCAGCAAGTGGTTAACATCTTGCAGCACCGCTGCCGTCCAATGTAATTGAAAGTCTGGACTGCGTACGTGGAAATTACTCATGCCAAACACATTTAAAAAATTGTATAGCTATTCTAACTTGAAGCTCATAAGTGTGTGTGGCACAGAGTGGACATGATCCAGTTTCATCTGAATACTCAAAATCAATGTAGCCGAGGTACAAGGAATGCAACTGAGAGTACATGCACAATGGCAACGGCACACAAGCGTCCTTCAAAATCAGCCCTTCTGATCATTTTCACCAACAAGCAGGGCACTTAGGTTCAGAGATCGTTGGATCAGCGACTGATAAGTGAAGGAACAGTGCAATAGCTTACCTCCTGTTCTTCAAATATCGGTGCATACTTTTCCAGAGACAATTTCCTGAGCAGGGCTGACAACTCATCTAGAAACAAAAGGCAGAATGGGTGATAC